ATACTGTGAAGCTGTTTACTCGCGTAGTGGTATTAACCATATGTGGATTCTAAAAAACTATAAAGAACTTCTGGATAATTTTAAATCTCGATCTTTCTCTGAAATTAGTTCTATCAAAACTTTTGATTTTTCAACCCTGTATACCACCATTCCCCATGTGAAATTGAAAAATCGTCTAAAAGAAATAATCCACAATGCTTTTCAACATAAAAAATGGTAGCATACACTATACATTTATTACTTTGGGATACCATACGGCATATTTTGTTAATAGTTAACAAAAAGATAAAACATGCTACACAAAGGAATCAGTATGCTGGAGTTTCTTATTGACAACATATTTGTTGAATTTGGAGGTAGACTTTTTCAACAAATTGTCGGCATTCCTATGGGAACGAACTGTGCGCCTCTCCTTTTCGACCTCTTCTTATTTTCATATGAGTCGGAGTTCCTTCAGACACTTGTCAAAAACAAGAAGATCAAAGAAGCCAGATCATTTAGTTTTGCATTTAGATATATTGATGATGTTCTTTCCATTAACAATCCAAACTTTTCTGATTGGGTTCCATTAATATATCCTCCAGAACTAGAAATTAAAGAAACAACAGACACGGCTTCCTCCGCCTCATTTTTAGACTTATACCTCGAATTTGACCTACGCGGTCATCTCATTACCAGAATCTATGACAAACGAGATGATTTTAATTTTGAAATTATCAATTTCCCCTATCTTAGTAGCAATATACCAACTTCACTTGCATATGGGATATACATTACCAAACTTGTTTCTCGTTTCTCGTTTTTTATATAGATTAGACCGTTGGTTTTCCCGTTTGAATGGTTTTACACTAGTAATTTTGGGGGCCCTTTATAGCTTACTGTTCGGTGTGAACCAAGGCTCCGTGTTGAAGACCGTACTGGGCCTATAATGGTTTACTTTTATAAATTTTGACTTGGATGGAGAGTTGTCTCATTGGCACTCATACCACATCTTCTAATATCTATATATTATACGATATTCAAGAGCTTACAGCTGCTATTCAGACTTTGTAAAACGTCACCAGTGTCTGAGCCGAAAGTTGATGAACCAGGGGTATTTCAAAGAAAGGCTTGTCCTTTTTCTTAAAAAGTTCATCGGAAAATACCAAGACCTTGTTGATTAATATTCCGTATCAACTTCACAAATAATACACGATGGTCTTGAAGTATAGATTCTAGGTACTGACTTTGTTTATCATCTTAATAACGTGTTATAGTACTATTTTATTTGTCTTTGGGAATATTACTTTTAATGTTTAGTTTATTTTTGGTAATATCCATTTGACGTGGCTCGGTACTTATACATCCCGTCATTGTGTTATTGTGCTATGGTAAATTTTTATATTCTGATCTTTCATTTTTGCTAATATGCTTTGTCTATAAATAAAGGCAACAGTAGTATGCCGCTGTTCAAAAGTCATAAATCGATTGAGAGAAAACAAATCCGGTACAAACTAAAACCGAAGAAAATACAAAGGAACAGCAGGAACACTGAAGTGCAACAAAAACAAACGCCAAAATACACAGAAACGAACTATTTCAGAACAACTGCCATATTCCTGACTTGGTACAGGACATTTTAAGAAAAAATGGTGGGTTGAACCTGGTTTCACGGCTAGCCAAACCTCCCGCTTATATGGCAATGTTAAAAAATATCGCTAAAATGACAACACTACGTGACAGAAATACAGCACAAACACCCATCACAGAGAAACGCACAAACAAATAATATAATAGTCGACACAACATGCAAACCACAGAACAACAACGAACATCTTACATTAACGACAGACAAGCACAGGATAACACAAGCAGTGACGCTCTTACGTAACGAATTTGTAATCTTGAACTACATACAATTATTTTCTCAATATCAGTCCAAACAATTATCATGACAATGACGCTATTGAAAGGGTATTTCATAATCATTTGGACTACAAACGATAAGACATAACACATTATCCAAACACAATCATAACAGAAACATCAAAAATAAATACATGAATGTTGGATGTATAAAATACCGAGACACGTCGTATAGCAATGCAAATTCACACTCGGTATAACAGTCATATTCGGTACTTAGCAGACAGACGACATAGATGTTAAATCACAATCTAAGACGTGGTTAAAATGTCATTAGTTAGTTTAGACACAGACACATCGTATAGATCAACCAATTCGTGATGGTGTCCATAAAATTTACGGAGTGTCATTTTTAATCTTTCCTCCTCATAACTCTGTTGGAGCAGTTTCTGCGTAAGGAGCACACTCCTGTATATGAAGTCCGTATAGTGTGAACATGCACGAGCATAACGTATCAATTGAGATATGTTAACACCATACGACAGAGCAGAGGGTATGTTACTGCAGAGAAATGGGAAATTGATAATTGGGAAGTTGAAATCATTCCGTTTGTCATAGATTTTAGTGTGAAGTCGTCCATCTGTGTCAATATTGAGGAAAAGATCAAGGTATGAAGCAGTCTTTCTTGTATCAGTAGTATACTTAATTTCAAGTTCACTGGGATATATGAGATGCAAGTTCTGACTGAAATATGGGTTATTCAGTAATGGGACATCATCAATATATCTGAAAGTAAATTTAAAAAATTTTGCAAGGTGCTTTTTCTTTATGTCTTTTAGAAGGTTCTGAATGAATTCTGCTTCGTACGAGTACAAAAACAAGTCGGCCAGAAGGGGTGCACAATAAGTACCCATTGGAATACTGACTGTCTATTGAAATATCAATCCTCCAAACTCAACAAATATATGGTCGATTAAAAAGTCCAGCATTTTGATAATATCATCTTCACTGTATTTTCTGATAGAATCAGTGTGGTTCTTCACAAAATAATAATTATTATAGCCCAAAACAAGAAATTTATATCTACGATTTCAATTTTTATAGAAAAAGCTCTGTTTAATGAGATGGTGAAGTCGATCTTTCAATTGAGCATGGGGAATAGTAGTGTAAAGCGTAGAAAAATCAAAGGTTTTAATGTTGCTGCGAAATTGCAGAGATTGTGATCTAGGATATAGCAGTAGATCTTTAAAATTTTTGAGAATCCACATCTGATTGACACCACTGGTTGAATATATCTCATTACAATGTTTTTGAAGGCCATCTTTTACTGTAGAAAGAATAGTAGTCAACACTTTAGAAAGATGTTTAGTCGAACATCTTGATGATACAGCTATGTATCGTTCTTTATACGGAGTTTGTGAAGTTTTGGTATCCAGTATAATGACGGTAGATTTGCTTCGTTTTCTTTGATGTTAATACCAAATGAAAGAAGGACAGATTTGTGATTTTGTAAATTTCATTCTTTGTAAATGATGTTTAAGAATATGAAGGATTACCAGTTGTGCTGTTTATTCCAAGCTCTTTTGTGAGACATTGCAAATAATGGTTTTTACATACGAAGACAATATTATTGGAGGCTTTATCTGCTGGAACAACGACATATTTGTCATGCAAAGAGGATAAAGCATCCACAACCTCCGGGTTCTTGAATGGGTTAGAAACCCTTGTGCTCATTATAGATCGTAGTTTCTGAATGCGCTTGTGAATGCATGATCGAATAGCTTTGATCCATTCAGACAAAGTGTCAAGTTCTGGTTCGTCTTGTTCGCGCTTTACCCATTTTCTAGCATAGTCCTCAACTGCATCCATCAGTAACTTGAAGTTCTTTTTCCAGTTAACGGACTTGGGAATTCTATATTTTGGTCCCTTGGCTAACAACTCTCTTAGTTGTTCATTGGTAACGATACCAAGGTCGCCAGTAATAACATGACCAGCTGGACTATAATTGTATTTTGACGATGCACATGAGCAATCCGGAGGTTTGGATTTTTATATGCCTTTTTGTGTTCCTTGTTGACATGTTTGTTTTTTTATATTGATTAAGATTATAACACAATGTTGACTGCTGTACCCCTATTTTTGATATCTTTACCAATTATATCTGTTTGTTTTGTTCACACATCGTTGTCAATATAATGGAATTTTATGCGACTGTCATACAAGTCAGAGGTTTAGCTAGCTATGAAACCAGTGATGGTTATAACTTTAACTTTACAACGTTATATCAGTTTTATCGTTTTAACTTTAACAGACATATGGTTTACTTTTATAAATTTTGACTTGGATGGAGAGTTGTCTCATTGGCACTCATACCACATCTTCTTATATCTATATCTATAAATTCCGAAAGTATGTTAGAAAACGTTCTCTCTCATAGTAAAATACCATTTGACTTCTTCATGCATCCATTTCGCAAGTATTCCTCATTCGTTTCTTAAAGTTTGTTTTAACTATTTCATGACAGATATAAGAATAAGAATAAGAATATTTATTGTATCCAATTAAAGGGTCCGTTTCAGAGCATATACTATAATATATATATAGTATTAATTATACAGTGATTTTATAGATATACGATTCCGTCATTAAAATAGATGGCCAACGTAAAATACACAAATATTCTCTTAAACTTACACCATCAAGATAATTAACTTTTATCACAATGTTACTATAATTTTTTAATATTGTTTTTTTCAAAAGCCATTTTGAAACTCAAATCATATGCACATTTTTCTATTACTCCAAAAATATATGATTATTAAAAACAAATATATGCAATATTTTGTGGACTGTTTATCTTTTTGTGTTTTTTTTTGTTGTTGTCATTTTGTAATCCGTATTTCTTTGCTCTAACGTTTTTTTTTTCTTCATTTATATCTTCTTTTTCAGAATGATCAAAACAATAAAAACTAATTTGACAATTTTTTTAATTAAGCATCATTTACACGTAATTTTCTGGTAAAAATTGAGATGAGGTTTTCAAAAAAATATATGAGGGGTTATTTTTTTTATATTATATTGTCATTAGAAAAACGTAGAAGAATGAATATATACATGTCAAATACTTCTCTCATTTAACAAACGGTTTATTATAGGAATTTTCCAACCCATCAATGTATGTGTAGTTTTGGCATTTATATCGATTGCTGTGCTTTTTTATCTGATATATTACCGCTATGATAATGGTGGAACGCAATTTAGAGAGAATCAGAGAACAGAATCGCATTCAACGCCACCTTTTATGTCTCAGGTAATTTAATTATAACTGTTAAAATGCCAAAAACAAATATAGACAATGTTGAGCATGAAATTAATCAAAGGAACAGACATTTTATTTGATTGCTTTTTTGTTTTATCGACTAATAGATAAATCACGTTTTCCAGACAAAGATGCCTATCTGCACACCTCCAATGGATTTAGGAAAAAGAAGTTACCAGCACCTGAGAAAAGATAAACTTTGTGCAATGCCATATTTAAATATCGACAAGATATAGCACTTAGTATAAGTATTTCTACCGGGGTATATACATGTATAGAAATGCTTAAAACTACATGTATTGCAAATTAAATAATGTTAGTACGGATAAAGACGAGATTTATAGATCTTACCACAACGCTAGATTAACAATTTTTTCAACGGAGCACTATGTTTAAATTGACTGTATCTCAATTTACCAGCTCCATAAACAACAAAGACATCAAAGAGATCGTTAAAACTTTTATCCATCGTATACCATTTGCTGTAGTAGACATATATTTTTTTAATATTGCAAATTTTACATGTTTTTTGTTTAAATGGGAGAGTTCCAATTTTTACTGAATTTGTTTAACAGCAGACTATTTTCAAAAAATCATTTAGTAACTGTAGTTTTTCTGAAAATTTAATTATAGATTATCCTCCTGTGGCAGAATAACAGTATATAATTAAGTTAAGTTAAGTTCTTTTTTATGCACCCTACGTAGCGGAGGGGACATTAAGTTTTACCCTTGTACGTCTATACGTCCGTCCGTGCTTCCGTACGTCCCGGAATTGGTTTTTTCGTTCTCTAAGTTGAGTTTGCCTCAACCAAATGTTTTGAATTTTAAACACAATGCTTATTACCACAAAACACAGATCAAGTTTGAATTTGGGTGGCGTCACTTTTACCTTTCTAGAGTTACGCCCCTTTATAAATGAAAAAAAAAAATGCTGATTTTTTTCTTTTCCGTTCTCTAACTTAAGTTTGCATCAACCAAATGTTATGAATCTTATACACAATGCTAATTACCACAAAACACAGATCAAGTTTGAATTTTGATGGCTACACTTTTACCGTTCTTTACAAATGGAAAAATTGCTGAATTTTTCGTTTCCGTTCACTAACTTAAGTTTGCTGACACCAAATATTATGAAACTTATACATAATGCTTATTACCGCAAAACTCAGATGACTGCTAGTCAATTCGTTCGAAGTCCGGTTCGTTCCACACCAATTCGTCCCAAGGCAAATGTCAATTTGTTCCAACTTATTTTGTTCATTATCAATGGGACTAAAAATTTGTTCCTACTTTTTTAATGTATATGTCTCTGTAAATTGCAGTTTTTGTATAGATCGGTGTACAGTGTATGGCAAAAATAATTTCACACTATTTTTTTTCACTGTATATTTCATATGAAAGGACATTTTTCAATAAATTATTTTGAAAGCATTTATGGTTGGATTTTAGCAAACAATGTGTTGAAAAATGAAGAATTATGTGAAGTATATTTGTTTATCACATATTTGTTACGAAAACATTGGGTTTTGCATATGTAATAACCGCAAAATTGTCCTAGTCATATTGCTGCCCGGGGCAAAAAAGTGGTTATTTGTTATTGTGCCCCGATTCCAAATGACGTTACATCATTGCTTCCGTAACGACAATGGCGAACAATGACGTTGTTTGTATTGAAAATTATGAGAATTCTGCTACAATGGCCACTAGTTACAATGTCCAACCAACTATTATCGATTTAGCCCCAGTTATGCCAAATTCTCGCTTTTGTGTATTACCATATTCAAAAATAAGGGGAAATGTTACAACAAATTTGTATGCAGTAAATGAAAAACAAAAAATGGAAATGTGATAAATCTTTTTAAATTTTACCTGTTGTGGTTAATTAAATAGTTATAATTGAACGTTTTTCTCTTTTCTGCTGAATTTAGATATAGATAAAAAGATTATAAAATGTCTTTTCCATATTGGCCCTAGTATCAACCCTCGACCGATATCGGCCCTCGGCTAAAGCCTGGGGCTGATATGGGAGTATCGGGATGATACCAGGGCCAATATAGAGAAGGGCATGTTATAATCTTTAATTATTTAGTCATACATTTTTTTTGGTTGTCTTTCATTTTTCTGATGTCAACCTGTATGAATATTTGAGATAATCTGTCTTGTGCATTAAAAAGACAATTATAATTTTATTTGATAACAAAATACAACAACAACATTTCACAGATAATTTTTCAATTCATGCGTGCATCACTAATGCATTTTACTACTCAATAGTCGGCGCAACGATAAGTCCATCAGGCGACATCAGCGGGGTTTATTCTTTTGATGAATGCATACAAGACTTTTAGGTGCTTAGTTTTAAAATACAATAATATCATGAAATATTTGCTTAGATAGATACTATCATTCCTTGTATAAACCATAGAAATCAATTTTAAATAAATACTTATATTTATTTTATATAAATTTTATACATGTACAGCATTAAAAATAAAAGTAATAAGGTAATTTTAATAGTTCATATGGTTTAACACTGTTCTCACTACAAATCAGTAAAAGTCTGAAATGGCCTATATTTGTACTCGACTGTACTGATTTTTACTCGACCTGTCTGAATTGGTCTGAAATGTACTTGATATTACTCGACTGTAGTCTGAACCATACTTATCAGTCTGAACTTGTACTCGACCTTTACTCGACCAGTACTTGACCATTTTATACGAGTCTGAACCATACTCGACATAGTCTTAACCATTCTCGACCAAGTCTGAACCATGATCGACCTAGTCTGAACCGTACTCGACCAAGTCTTAACCAATCTAGACCTATTTTTTGTATCTATCTATTGTATTTCATCAATTTATGAACTGTTATACATATATTTATATATATAAACAAGTCTAAATTGAAAACAACGTTCAAACCTATGACTGCGTTGGATAAAAACCGCAATTTTTATACGTGTGCATGCAAAACAAATTTCTTGGTAGAGTGGTCTAAATACAGCACAAACAACATATATACAATGTATATTTCATTTAAAATTAAAATAAAACAAGGTAATCAAATTTCTGGTTGGATTAAAAAAATATCATATAATAAATTAAGTTTTCGTTAAATGAATTTTTATATACATGATATCATGTTCACATTGCTTTATGTACATCAAAAATACTAGAACTTTCAACCATTATTCAAATATCTTAAATGTTATTTAAATTTTTATTTATCAAAATATATATAAAATAGTAATAAATGTTAAAATTGACACCTTTGTTTTGTAAAACCAAGAATTTAATAAATAATAATAATAAATATTTCATAGCAATCCTTGATAACCTTTTGAAAAAGGAAATGCATTCCAAAGTTGCAGTAGAAATTTATTTTAATTAAATTTAAATACGTTTTGTCAAAATTAAAGACATGGCATACAAGAAGCACTTTAATAAGGTTTAATTACCTTAGTACAGGTGTGTTTGACAGGTAAAAAGAAAACCCTATTTTTCTTAAACTCGTGTATTACCTACTAGTGAATTCAAAAGGCCTTGTTATTAAAGTTTTACAGGATGTTGTAATTTTCAATGGATGTTATTTAAAATTTATTACTCTCTGACCAGGTGTGATCTTTTTAATCAGTGTGCCCCAAGCAGGATGTATTACTTTATAGTTTACCCCTAATCATTTCTTTAATTTTATCCCTTTTTAAAATATATATATCCCAAATTATAAATAGGAATAGATATATTTCTGATATAAGGTTAAACAATGTCAGTGATTTTGTTGGCTGTTGTTACCTCATTATTGTATGTAACCATGAAACCTAAGTAGTTTTTATTTAGGAATTTAGGAAAATCAAGTTTTGTTTAAAAAAAACCCAACACATGCAAAACAAAAAGAACCTTAATAAGGTTTAATTCCTTCAGTATAGGTGTGGTTTTCAGGTAAAAGAAAGTCTTTTTATTTAACAAGACTCAGACTTTAAAATTAGATTATTTAACTATCTCGATTTGATAAATCTAAGAGAATCATGTAAGTATGTTAAAATCTGTTTTTATATATATCTTTATTTTATTGTGGCTGTTGTCATGTCAGTTAAAAAAGTTATTTTAACAATCAAAATTATAAAAAGTAGAGGTTATTTGGTCAAGTATGGTTCAGACTGGTCGAGTACGGTTCAGACTGAAAAAATAGGTCGAGAGCTGGTCAAGTATTGGTCGAGTACAGGTCGAGAATGGGTTAAGACTGTTTCAGACTGGTCGAGTAATAGCTGAGACTATTTTCAATAGCAAAGATAATGGTCAAGTACAAATCAGTACAGTCGAGTATGGCTAAGACTGGGTCAAGTAATATTAAGTAAAATTCAGACCAATTCAGACTGGTGGAGTAAAAATCAGTACAGTCGAGTACAGATATAGGCCATTTCAGACTTTTACTGGTTTGTAGTGTCTGTAAACAGTTGGAAAGAATTGACCAAGCAACTTTGGACGAATTGGTTGGTACGAATCGGAGTTGAAACGAATAATCCAGATACCACTCAGATCAAGTACGAATTTATTATTTTATTTACAAAATGAAAATTAGTAAACGTATAAAGGAATAGTGTCTTATCTGGCATGTATGAGGAAATATATACTTACTTAACAGTATTAACATATAACCTGTTTGAATGGGTTTTTCTCGTTACTATTTTAGAGGCCTCCGGGTATACTGGATAGGATTCACAGACTTCCAGTCTTAGATAACAAAGTATGTATCTTGAGTTTTTACTCTGAAACTATGAATTTGCACAGAAAATTGGTAGATTCGGCTCTAGCAACAAACAGAAGAGGAAACAGCAAGGAAGTTATCCAGCATCTGGTCAGGAAGCATGAAGATATCCTAAGTATTCCCAATGCAAGATATATCTTTGTATTTGTCGACTTCAATGAACGCAATGTGATCTTAGAAAATCCTGGACAGGACTTAGGCGATAAGAAGCTAGTGACTGTACAGGCTGCTCAGAAAATTGGTGGTAAGTTCTTCTACACAAAACAATTGTAAACATTTGGTATCTCATTAACATATAACTTATTAGAAAATGTTTCAAAACTTAAGGTTGTACAAGAGCTTTTTTTTAATGAAAATGCAAGAAATTTGTTTGTTTGTGATGTTGTATATTTCTTATCTGCCGAGATATAAGAACCATTGAGGTACTAAATGAAGAATGAATCAATGAGCTGCATAAATATTAACACACTATACAAGCTTCATAACCATGTCTCAGAATTATAATATCTTGTCCTTTTACTGTATAAATGGCTGGATCTATTTTCGTTTTAATAACTGTATATCGCAAATTTTCAAAATTGGTTTCGTATTTTATTTGGCCTTATTTAGTTATTCTGATACATGGTTTTGTAGCATTTTTATGCCCCCGCCGTAGCGGTGGGGGCATTAAGTTTTACCCTTGTCCGTCTGTTCGTACGTACGTACGTCCCAAAATTCGTTTCCGTCCTTTAACTTGAGTTTGCTTCAACAAATTTTATGAAACTTATACACATTGCTTATTACCACAAAACACAAATCAAGTTTGAATTTTGGTGGCGTCACTTTAACCGTTTTAGAGTTATGCCCCTTTATAAATGAAAAAATTGCAAAAATTTTAGTTTCCGTTCTCTAACTTAAGTTTGCCTCAACCAAATGTTATGAAACTTATACACAATGCTTATTACCACAAAACACAGATCAAGTTTGAATTTTGGTGGCGTCTCTTTAACCGTTCTAGAGTTACGCCCCTTTATAAATGGAAAAATTGCAAAATTGTTAGTTTCCTTTCTCTAACTTAAGTTTGCCTCAACCAAATGTTATGAAACTTATACACAATGCTTATTACCACAAAACACAGATCAAGTTTGAATTCTGGTGGCGTCACTTTGACCGTTCTAGAGTTATGCCCCTTTATAAATGGAAAAATTGCAAAATTTTTATTTTCTTCTAAATATCAAGTAATTTTTAAAATTGGAGTTGTCTTCCTTTGTCCATGATTATAGTTGAATCAACTACAATCAATGCTTTATACAATGCAATGTTTAATTTTGACTTCCACTGATTAAACACAGATCAAGTTGTATAAATCAAAAGATTGCAAAATTTTAGTTTCCATTCTGTAACTTAAGTTTGCCCCAACCTAACATTATGAAACCTATACACAATATTCATTACCACAAAACTAAGATCAAGTACAAATTTTTTGTTTCCGTTTCCTAACTTTAGTTTGCCTCAACCAAATGTTATGAAACTTATACACCATGCTTATTACTACATAATACAGATTAAGTACGAAATTTGGTGGCGACACTTTTACCATTCTTGAGTTATGTCCCTTTATAAACATAAAAATTGTTGAATTTTTCGTTTCCGTTCTCTAACTTTAGTTTGTCTCAACCAAATGTTATAAAACTTATACACAACCGTTCTAGAGTTATGCGTGTTTACAAATAGAAAAAATGCTGAATTTTTAGTTTCTGTTCTCTACTTTTAAGTTAGCCTCAACCAAATGTTATGAGACTTACACACAATGTTTATTACCACAAAACTCAGATCAAGTTCAAATTTGGGTAGCGTCACTTTTACCGTTCTTCAGTTATGTCCCTTTATAACTATATGATATGCAAGCGGGGGCATCATCTGAGTCCACATGTGGACACTGTCCACATTTATTTTATACTCTTAATGATGAAATAAACATACATTTAGTATCTAATAATTACATAACATGTACGTTTCATTAGAATTCGTAGATTTGATTGGCAACAATGCGAGGCACTCCAATTTCTTTTTATTTCCATATAATTTTATAGGGTTGTAAAAGCGTTGATCCTGTGCACATTTTAATAGGAAGTACTTCCGCCCTTTATACAAAATGTGCTTCGGTCAACACATTTACTCCCCAATTAAATTTTAAAAAGGAGCATTCAATTCTTGATAAAATGACAACGATAATGTAAGAATTAGACTGATATAATTGTTTTAAATTTTCTTTCAAGTATGGACAATTATTGAAATGTACTAATAATAGTTTCACTAACTTTTTAAAAAAAATTCCTGAAGTCTTTCCTTTAATTTGGTACTATATTTGTTTTAAAATCTTTTAAATTGCCGAAATTATAGCCAATTAAATACAACCACCCAATTTTTTTTTTAAATAAGACTGTTACCATATATTATATATAAAGAGAAATCAAGACAATAATAGACCTGACAAATTTCATTATTTATGCATGAGACTGGTTAACCTTAGTTCTGAATTCATACACAAAAATAATTAAGAATTGCACTAGTATTTAATAAAATTTACAAATTCCCCACCATATTTTTAAGCGTTTGTATGTTTGATTAAAAAGATGCGTTGCGGTCAACAATATAGATGATAATGATGGGTTACTGTTTAACGCACAGCAGCAAATTAAATGGATATTCAGGACGAGAACAAGTCATGTTGAGCCGATATGAATATAATTAACCCTACATTGAAATATACCTACATGGTAAGCAGGATTTTAACGTGCTAGATCATAAGATATACAGTCCGAAGGAAGACATGTTATTCGAACCGGCCACTTTATTCCGACTCCGGCCGACCAGTCTTCGTTCTTAATCCATAAATTTTAAAGACTTGGTTTGACCCAGCCGGGATTCGAACCAACGATTTCTAGCACTCGAAGCAATCATTCTGTATCATCAAGAGACCACTGATGCAGTCCCATGACATTGAGACAGCATTCTAACGAAACCAAAAATACAAAAAAAAAAACATACATAGATGACATTCATTAGACCTTTGATCAATCCGTTGCACTTTTAATAAACCGCCGTTTCAGCCAAATTATTGTCATTTTAATAGGTAAAGGGTCAAGCTCTGTGCACGTACATTGTAAAGAATCCTTGAAAAACGTTTAGCTGATCGTAGGTGACCTTTTGTCACATATAATAACAGTCGTTGCCGCAGACACCGTATTGTTGTTTGGCGCCTCCACTATACAACATAACAATGATATGTGAGGTCTGTTCTTATTTCTTCGTTGCCTAAGACGATTAACTTCCTGCATGAGACCTAGGTATTATGATTAGAAATAATTTGTTTTTTCATCTTTTTAAAAGTAAGACCCATGCAAAACTAATATAATATTTATATTACAGCTGATGTATTTGTGACATATGTGAGGGACAAAGGATCAAACCGATTACTTCCGGGTAACTTGTATAACCAGGAGTTGTCCGCCTTTACAAGTCATGATGAGTTAAAGAGGTTAGAAAACAAAAAGAGATGTTTCAGTGTATATGAAACATTTAACAACACACAAAAGGAATCTATTGTCCATTCAATATTATGAGACTTTATAATTTATTAAATTGTCATTGACATGTGTTGACACTTTATTTTCTAATCCTATATATTTTGGAAAACTGGATTTTTTTTACTTTTACTTAGATAACAAACTCTTCACATGATTTTTTGTTGTGTTTTTCTCACATTATGTTGTATTTTGATGTAGTGAGTTTCAGTTTCTATTAATGTGTGAATCCTATTCATGTACTAACTTTCATTGTTTTAAAATGATACATTAATATATATGATACCAATATCAGTACACATGACACATGTTTCTTGATAAACTTCCATCAGATTTGTATGCGAATTAATGTTTGAAAAGCCAATTAAGTAATAAGTTCTGAAACATTAGTAATGCAAAAGTTATGAAAAGGACATCAAAAGCCTTCAATTACATACTATATAATGTGAATATTAAAATATCAATATGTTGTATCATTTAAATCATATCTCTCCAAAGCCTTAGCTTAATGGAGAGCCGATATTAGAAAAAAAAGAAACTGTTGTAGTTTAGTATTGTATTGTATTGTAAATGATAACTAACACATAAGTATATTTTATGTATGTTACTAAATGGTATGCAGTTTCTACATATGCTTGCGTTCCGTGTTCATAGATTTTGACTTTTTTCATATTAAAAGTTACAAAAATGTCTTTGTTGCAGTATTTAGTCCATGCGTTTTAGCATTTGAAAAGACATTTGAAAAGCAGTTCGCATAGTCGTATATTGTATGCTGTTTTTTCATTCTTTTAAAAATAAATGACTTATACCGATGCAAGTCAAATATTTGTTTAAAGGAATTGTCCACACAAATACAATCAATACACCATTAAAATGAAAGCAATCGAAATAGCATTTTCTTCAAATTGAGAAAGACCTGATATAAATAGTAAACATTTTCCTACAATTCAAAAGTCATATCTAACAGCAAAAGAAAGTATAGATTGGAACATGAAAATGGCAGTGGTGTCAAGTCGTTGTTATTTCTACTGTAAACTCGAAGAAGACACATCTAAACTCATTTATGTCGATGTATTTCTTCTTCTTTTTTAGTGGACGCTTGTTTGTCTTGTGATCACTTTATTTTGGTTTATTCCATGGCGTTGTTAGTTTGCCTTTGACTCATGACTTTTTTTAAGTGAAATTACGAGCCGTCAAATCTATGTACTGCTATTTCATGATCGTTCATCATATTCTTAATACTATGATTTTATATATAAACTGTAAAGCACAAACGATGTATAATTTTCTTGTATTTCAATTAAAATCCAACCTTTTACATTGGCCAGGTTTTTTTAAAATGTTCTTGTGTTGTAAAGTAAATATGCGTAGGAAAAAAGGCATTCTGGGCCCTTAAAACTGACTTTATTTATTTAATAACTGAATTTAGTGAAGGGCAACAACATATATTCACACAAATTCACAAAAAATATATATAACTTACTGCTTTTATGTTCAGAATAAATTTTTCCATAACTTCGCAGAGTTGAGATATAGTAGATGTCACTGAATCCTTTATAAAACGGTCATTAAAACCAAGAACAGAGCAATTGTATATTTTTTTCAATTTTATTTCACGATTCCTTTGTTTTTATAGTAAATAATGTTTCACGTTTCTTATATATGGACCCGGGAGTTTAAAAAGAGGTGCACGAACATTAAGGGGCAGCAGTAAAACATTATAAAAATGCAAATTTTCTACAATAAGCCAGAAGCCATGTTGCTCCTCGCCCCCCTCACCACACATACATACTTTATCCGGCCCTAATTATTCGAAACAAATTTAATCTTTGATAACATTCAAATTTGAATTGAATGGAATATATAACAAACAAGGCAATATATAAAATATATGTCTGAAAATGATGCCGTTGAAATATAAAAAAGGAATTGTTCACATCAAGAAAAGTATCTGACATAAGCTAGATGTGACAAGCAACAATATATACAAATCACGGATGCTTTTCTATTAAACATGATATTACGGCATTTATATCAAACTTGTTTAATGTCTTGAAATAACTTTATTTGAACTTGTTTATTGTTTTTCAATCGTAAATGTACTAAAAGACAACATTTTACATGTTTTAACCCATACGACTTTTGTATTTAAAATCAGTCGATAAAACATTGACACTTCTCGAAAAAACCTTGACTGCTTTTGATAAAAACCCGGTAATAAAAATTAATTCATTTTCAAATTTATCTTATTTTTGCAATAACAATAATTTTTGTAATTTGTTTAAATGTAAGGATATACATATTCTATGCATGCATTTCCTTTGTTATTTTAATTTGTATGTACATACAAAAAGTTTTAATCAATATTTTTAATAAAGTTATTTTAAGGCTGAATTAAATTTTTACAAAAGAAAATAATGTATGGTTGTTCATATCTATCTATCACATATACGAACTTGCATTGTATGATCTTATAATTATAATTCAAGTCTCTGTTTCACGTCTTACCAAAAATATTAAGATCATATTCGTGGTCACAAACGAAAATACCCGATCAAATCTCTAAAAGAACAGTATCCCATCCGAACTATATACCTACCGTGAGTATATCCATTGTGAAAATTTATATAATGGGCAGCTAGTGCTATTATACTATGGACTACCTGGTAACACTATGTGACTATATTATAACTGGGGAATATACTATAACATGTGGATTTATAGGTTATTTTCATTGCAAGTGGTAAGAATCAGTTTTATTCTGGACATAAAAGAATCTTAATATTGAACAAATCAGGATATCATTTTTGAAAATAAAATTTCATTAAAGATGCAGGGCTTCTAATTAGTTAAATCAAATGAACGTTTGGTCTTCATATGAACTATCAGTGGCTCTCGCATCAAAACAGTGTAAGGCAAAAATGTCGAACATTGAAAACCAAGAAGCTTGAAACGTGCCTAATATGGATAAGACAATCTATGCATTGGGGTTGATACATTAGTGTTTCGAAATTTTTAACATTTTATATACACAACACATTTACAAAAAAGGATCATTTCGATGATTTTGCAGACACACAAACGTACTGACTACTGTGATAGCCTCGGGGAGGAAACGTTCATCAGCAGTGGCATCGACATAGTGCATGTAAAAACTCATAAAAAGTATAATTTGGTGCGCCAGACGCGCGTTTTGTTTGTATAAGACTCACCAGTGGCGTTGCAATCAGCACAATGACGAAAACTTGTAGTGAGTTTATGAGTGCAATTTGTGAATATACTTCTTTTTGTTAGATTGTTGTTTTCGCTCTTTTCTGTGAAACCCTTTGAATTGAGTAACAGGAGTGAGTCATCGGAAGATTGAATCAACTAGACCACAAGCGCTTAGATACAGGATTTCGATATTGTATTTGTCATTGTTTGCACTAAATATTTTCCATTCTTTATACCACATACTAAACCTTACTGTACTGTTACAACCCCTTATTTTATGTTCCTCATCCAAACGCATCTGGTATACTATCTTTCTGGGTAAAAGCTACAGAGAAAATGGTACTTTATGTTATATATCATCTTTTGGAGAAAACATTTCTATGAAAAAAGCCTGCACTTAACAACTGCATTCAACATTACTGCTAAATATTACTTTGAAGATCTAATTGATTCCTATTAAATTTAAATGTATTTTTGCAGAAATATATAGAGTAAATTTATCTTTTGTTATAGAAAGCTTATTATGATTTAATGAAACTTTAAATATATATTTATATCCTCGGCTTCCAAATATTCGGCTTTAAGTTTCCCGATGAAGGTAAATCCAGAAAAGCGCTTCGGACGCATGAACTTAATATCGTGTTGTTTTCGTTTTTACAGCACTGGGTCGATACCTCTGCTGGTGGACTATCAATCCCCGAGGGTATCATCAGCTCAGTAGTCAGTACTTCAGTAATGACATGATTCATAAAAAACCTTTCTAAAATTTTCCGTTTTTAAATTTTGAAATTGTAAAGAAACTAAGGTTTCAACTCCCTCAGGCAAAGTTGACCTTAATGAATTTGGCTATTTTAAGGTATTTTTGGTCATATAGCTCTCTAACTGTTTCGGTTCTTATACATCCGTGGCTTCCAAATATTCAGCTTTGAGCGTTCCTGATGAAGGTAAATCCAGAAAAGCGATTCGGACGCATGAAATAATAACGTGTTGTTTTCATTTTTTATACAACTCTGATTTATCTCGTATTTTTGCATGTTTGTTTTTCTTTCAACATCATTAAAATAAACAAATTAGAAATAGAGTTTGTTTTTGTCTGGGTAAATTGAGACAACGGTAATTTCCCAATGTTTGAATCTCGTAAATCGATAAGGAATACAAATTAAGGTCATAATGAAAAAACTGAACTCTTCAAGGAGTGGGTGTGTCGATGGATTAACTTAATAACGGTTTAAGTATGGACAGTAAAGATAAAGAATTATACCAGATCTGGAGTATATAAATTCACCACAAACCAGGTGAGACATGTACAGCATGGTTAATTTGCGGTTTAAAAATTTACATTTAGTGCAAACAATGACAGATAAATAATAGAAATCGTTTTGTCGAGCACATGTAAACTAGACCGGAAAAGGTAGTCTTATTGTCTATATTTTCCTGTTAACAATGAAAAGAAAAAGAAATAATTGGGTGTGGTGTGGTGTGGTGTGGTGTTGTACGTTGTAATATTTGTTTTAAGTCAGCGCGTTTTTGTCTCTTAATTAGTTTAAATAACAATGGCCTCTGTAAAAGCGTTTTTATACGCCCGTTTACGGGACGTATTATGGTATACAGTTGTCCGTCTGTCTGTCCGTCGTCAACATGTCGGACATTTACTCAAAAACGCTTTAACCAATTTGCATGAAACTTTGGTGAATTGTTCATATCTTTTGACATGAGCTCCATTTCGATTTTTATAAATTGTCGATTTTACGTTTCCGAGTTATGGGGTTTTCTTCATTAAAAAAGGGGGGATTTTACATTTTTCGCACAAAAACGCTTTCAGTTCTCAAAAACTTTGGTAAATTGTTTATATCTGTTGTCTTTCGCTCCATTCGATTTTTAAATATTTTCGATTTTAAATTTCTGAGTTATGGAATTTTATTCATAAAAAGGGGTGTTTTCTATTTTTTTGACATTATCTTTAAAGTGCTTTGGGCAGTTTTGATTAAACTATGGTGACTGATTTATATCTATTAAGGTAAACTCCCTTTAGTGTTTCATAAATTTCTGATATATATGACATTGAGAAGTTATTGAATTTTATTCTTTGGAAATGGGACGGGTGTATCATGCGCTCATGGCGTAGCTGTTTATTTGCTTTCTTGGGACTAGAGAGCAAGAATTTACTATTCTGTAGATATACAGTCGACAACTGCCCCTGTACACAGGAGCGGATTCAGGATTGTGTTCGGGGAGGGGCGTGGGCAACAAATAGGGGTATGGCATAAGTTTCATGATTTACATATTAAAATAATATAAGATATTTATTTTTTCTCGTTTTCACAAAATTGTCCCTCATATTTTTCTTCATTTACCTTTCTTTCCTTCTTCGTTTATTTTGCCGTTCAATACTTTTTCTGTGTTAACTGGATTGTCTTCCGTTTATATTTTGATTGTTATGTTCAATTTTTTTTTTCAATGCTTAGTCTTAACAGATGAGAGTGGTATTTCATATTTTTCTGTATATAAATTTCGTTTAAGAAAACTTTCCACTCTAAATCCAACTTGGTTTAAATACTGTCATTATAGATATAACATTCATTGTTAATAGTTTAGACTGCTAATATGATCACTGATTATTTTAAAATGGTTAGTCAACATAAAGCGGTAAATGATTTGTTTGTGTAAGAAAGGCTATAATTATACATGTGTGTACATGAATATTAGTCAGACCTTTTTTATCCGTGTATATCATTTTCATTATCCTATATAATTACTACATAATATAGAAGGCAATTGCTATTATGAAACAACTGTACACTTTATATGTCTGTGATTAGGGGGTGCACGAAATTCAACCAAAACTCATACGTCACTCGCTTTTTCATCTAAGCCTTGTCTTTACCCTTGATAGTTCGAACATACCATATTGTTAGATCATGGCCATGCCAATGTCAAGAAATTGATAAACATATGCTAGTAATGTATTTACAAAATAATGTGTATGTGTATAACCATACTTGTAAAAAAAAAATATTTTATGAAGTTTTGCATAGCATATTAGTCTATCTAAAGCGACTCAAGTTCAGTTACAATTATAGTTAAACGGGTTTGAAATATTTCCTAATTGTATTTCAATGTTGAATGTTAACTTCAAAAAGCTAACAGAAAGCAAAATTTACACTTTATTAAACGTCTGTTATACATTAAAAGAGAGGCGAAAGATACCAAAGAGACATTCAATTCCATAAGTCGAAAATAAACTGACAACGCCATGACAAAAAAAAAGACAAAGACCAAAAGACAAACAACAATACTAAATATACAAGATAGAAATCTAAAGACTAAGCAAAACAAACCCCATCCAAAACACTGGGGTAAAAATTAGGACAATTTTATGTGCAAATGTCCGTTTGTGATGTAGGGGCAACTGACAAAATATACACTATTTGAATATTACAATGAATGCAATTCATTTCAATTCAATTATTTAAATAAGGTATATTTATACAAAGGTATTGGATAAAACTCAACATATATAAATCCTTTCCATTATAAGATGGATAGCACAATAATTGGTTTTTACTTATTAAACAGCTACACATCATTTGTGAAATATCGCTAGGGAGTACATTGCAAATGTTACTACTCACAATTCTTATATGTGATAAATAATGTTATTTGGTTATTTGACTCCACATTAATTCCAGAGGTTTGCTTACAAACTATATCTTTGTTCTTTAATATCTAAGGAATCATACAAGCATGAAACATGTCCTCCTTATGATTTGTATATTTAATTCCCTGATACAAAAGAATTTAATTCTGTATTTTAATTAGTAACTTACATGGTTAGGAACGTAAATGTAGATACAACAAATAGAAAATACAAAAATGATGAAAATATCGCTTTATAAATGTATGCGTCTGAAGCGCTTTTCTGGATTTACCTTCATCAGGAAAGCTCTAAACCAAATATGTGAAAGCCAAGTATGCATGTATGCATTAGAACCGAAGCATATAAAGAGTTATCAAAGGTACCAGGCTTATACGTTTACTTTGTGTGCGTTTACTTTTCTACATTGGCTAGAGGTGTAGGGGGAGGGTTGAGATCTCATAAACATGTTTAACCCCGCCGCATTTTTGCGCCTGTCCCAAGTCAGGAGCCTCTAGCCTTTGTCAGTCTTGTATTATTTTTAATTTTAGTTTCTTGTGTACAATTTGGAGTTTAGTATGGCGCTCATTATCACTGAACTAGTATATATATTTGTTTAGGGGCCAGCTGAAGGACGCCTCCGGGTGCGGGAATTTCTCGCTGCATTGAAGACCTGTTGGTGACCTTCTGCTGTTGTCTGTTCTATGGTCGGGTTGTTGTCTCTTTGACACATTCCCCATTTCCATTCTCAATTTTATTTTATAGAAAGTTACCAAAACTGATAGCTAAATCCATCTATGGTCAACTTTGCCTGAGGGAGTTAAAACCTTGGTTTTTTAATATCTATATTTAAAAACGCACAATTTAGGAATAATATTGAATAATTATGACATTACAGAAACACGTACTACTTAGCTGATGCTACCCGCGGGTGCTTTTAGTTCACCAGCAGCGCCTTTAATCCAGTGCTATAAAAAGGAAAATAACAGTTTATAAGCTGTATGCACCGCAAAATCTTTTATTGGTTTATCTTCATCAGGGGTGTTTGAAAGCCAAGGATGTTTAGAACCAAAACATGCGAAGAACTATAGGACCAAAACGGTTTTTTGTTATGAAAAAGATATACACTATATGGTTGACCCATATAACATTCTTTAGCTTTGTTTATCTATAGATTCCTGTAAGGATAAAAGATTATCTGCTGTGAATTGTTGTATATACCTTCAAGAAAATCAGAAATACTTCTAGTTTGAATCTTACTCACCCCCAAAAAGTTAGACACACATATCCAATCAAACCAGTTGCTCAAATGAGTACTTTTTCATCCAAGTTTTGTAACTTATTTACCTTATTACCAACACTTCATAACCGTACATAAACTCTAAATGGCACATCCGATTTTTGTGTAAAATGCAGTAACTTTTACTTTTTCCATTACAAATCCAGACAGAGTTGTTACATTCACGTCATTTGGTTTCTGGTTGACAGATGTCTCATTTGCAATCATACCATAGCTCTTTTTTAATAAAGAGAAAAATGCAAATAACTAAGTATGCACCGCCTACAATAGTAGTGTGTCTGTCTGTCAGTCCAGTTTCCGATCAATGTTTTGTATTGTTTGAGGTCATTTGTCAGAAAGTTGTTGTAAACTCAACTTGAAACTTTTAAATACACAAGTTTATTTTTAAATGGAACTTCTTAAAATAAATGCAAAATTCGAGTTTTGACATAGATTGTGCTGTTGACTGAATTGGAAATAAATGTGACCGTGCGTATACTGGTCAACGACCAGTTACCGTTTATTGCCTTTTTATTCAACAACGGAGGCGTTGCATAAAAATAACATACTGCAAATATCATCAGACAAATATTTTTACATCATTTAACTCTGTTTTGTGGGATCCGATTTAGATAGGATCTGTAAAATGAATGCGTCGAGGGAAGTGACGTATACAGTTCATAATCTGAAAAGTAAGGGAACCTTCAACATTTTCCTAATTAATGGTCAGAATGTCTTTATGTTTGGTTCAATTGACATACATTCTTTTTGCTACACAAAAGAAAAATACCTGTTCATCATTAATGTTCCGATTAAATGTAAATTCTGTCATTTAATCAAAATATTCAAAAGTGACGGTTACTGGTCATCGTACTTCTAAAATGTCCCGCAAAAACTGGCATAGTAGTAATCTTCTTCTTTTTTTTGTTTATAAGACGAATTTAAGGTCCAAGTCTTTAGTGATAAGTCTAACTTTTGGTAACACTTGCATGTAAAAAGAATATTTCCCTGAAGAGTTTCTGATTAAAGTTATTTGAAAAATGCGAATTTCTGACGGTAACTGGTTCTCAATCAAAAATGTTGAGTTCCTTTTAGGTAAGGTAGTTATCCATGAAACTGTAGTATCATCAATTTGTAGGCATGCATATAATTGTGTGAACTTATTCTAGTAAGATGTACATCAAAATACAACACCCAGATTGGGCGTTAAACAACATAGAATATGAACCTGGTATAAGAATGATAGTTTGTTTAAGGTAGTTTAACATAAAGTTGTAATCACATCTTGAAACTCAGTAGACATGTTCATAAGTATGTGATATTTAAATAAAGAGCTGCGACATCAGCGCATTATCGCCCCTCGCTTGTTTAGCTTGTCTTTATGATTTAAATGAGTTTATATGATCAACTAGAAATACTGTGAGTACAACAAATAGATCCCCCCCCCCTTCCCAAAAAAAAGACATGTGTACATAGTGTTATCCATTGACACAAAACAAGAACAATTTGACAATATTAAGGCTACCTCAAGTTTAACTAAGTGGTCTTTATTTTGTACCTATACATTTCAACGAATAAAATTTCATAACTCCGCAATGTCATAGAAATTTATAAAAGACAAAAGGGAGCTTATTTCAATAGATACAAACAAGTCACCAAAGGTTCATGAAAATTGTTCAAAGCATTTTTGAGTTTTAGTCAGAAAACTGGAAAATACCCCTTTTTTATAAATAAAATCCTATAACTCGGTAACGTTCAATCTAAAATTTATAAAAATGGAAAGGGAACCTACGTCAATGGATTTTAAATTATTCAAGTACCAAGTCAGGAATATGACAGTTGTTATCCATTCGTTTGATGTGTTTGAGCTTTTGATTTTGCCATTTGATTAGGGACTTTCCTTTTTGAATTTTCCTCGGAGTTCAGTATTTTTGTGATTTTACTTTTCACTGAAGTTTCATGAATATTTTTGAAAGCGTTTTTGAGTTATTGTCCAAAGTGTTGATAGACGGACGGACGGACAGACGGACGTCTTTTAAGACGGGCGTAACAAAATATTTATGATTAGGGTTTTGATCCATATTTTGCAGTTCATTGTCTGAACATGAAGAGTGGGGCATGATGTCAAAGGAACACATATTCTTTCTTATGTAAAAGATTGGCTTGAAGTTGTAACATTTAAGATTTAATTATTCATTAATGAACCTACTGTGTAAGAAAAAAAACCTTCTTGATCGAGATACAAATGCAAATATGAATAAAAGGAGATATAACGTACAGTACTTGTTATTGCCACCTCATTTAAAAACAAACAAAATATGATTTCAGGAGGTCAACATACAGCCTTCAACTGAACACAATTAAAGATCTACCGTCAACACGATATCTTTTTAAATGACAAAAACCATTCAGATATGACATAATGTACATTTAGATAACAGTTGGCGACGTTCGTGAGTTTTAATAACTTTTAAGCTACTTTTTAAAAGTATTAATTTCACATTTCGAACCTTATAAAATATTTAATATAAAGTATTTTATGCAAAAAATAAATAATTTTTTTTTCATATTTTAAAAGGATACAAACAGTTTTGACGATATTCCATTAAATGTTGATTAGTTCTAAATTTGGAATGAGTCTTTTGAAAATAAAAAAGTAATGTGTATGGTCATGATTGTCATACCCGCCTTTAAGCTTTAAGCTAAAAATATCAGCTTGTTCCATTTTTTTTATTGAAAGTGCGCCATTATTAAATAATTCAATTGAAGTAATAATACTAAACATGCTCAAATATATTTTTTTTTCAAATTTTTGAAAATGTCTCTCATTTTAGGGACTATTACTCATTTTTGGAATAGAGAGGCGAGAAAGATAACAAAGTCATATTCAAACCCATAAGTCGAAAACAAACTGAAAATACCATGGTAAAAAACGAAACAACCAGAAGAAAATAATACCAGTATACAGCACACGACTTAAAACACTAAAGACTGAGCAACCCGAACTTAACCAAAACCGGTGGTGATCTCAGCTGCTCCGGAAGGGTAAGCTGATACTGCTCCACATCCGTCCTAGTGCTCGGATAAGAACAAACCCGGTGATGAAACTGTTCCATATTCGGTGGGTTCTGCACTCTCATTTATTTGATCTTTTTCATTCTTCTACATTGCATGACATGATGTGTTTAGACATGTGTACTGTAAATATCTTTATAGTTCTATCACTTTTATCATCAATGTTGTATGCAACCTATGATATGAATTAAATGTTTTAGCTGAGTTAGTTTTCAAACATATATGAGAACAGTCATATTGGTTAACTTTTAGTAATCATAATATTTATATATGAAGTCAGAAATTGCAAACACTTTCTTATCCACGTTTGTCTGATATAATGATCTCTGCTTATTAAAGGAAGACTGCCTATTTTATGCACATCTGTTCTTTGTTAAGGCAGTTCTGTCAAGATCTTCAGTGATGTCGATATGGTAAAAACATGTGATAAGAATAAGACCACAAGCAAACGTTTTTAATGAACATTGTAATTATTTAAATGCCAACAAATCTATGTATGGAGTGGTATGGGAAAATATGATAAAACACTGGTAGCCATTATACTCATTCAATAGACTTTCTTTACCAATTTTATCAATATCAAAATATTGGCTGCGAAAATAGGGGTGATTATTGAGAAAGCCCAATTACTCAAAGTAAGCGGTGAAACTATTCACTGTAAACTCTCTCACAACAACACTTCGTAAATTTAAGGAATTTCAGGCAGGTTCAATGAATTGATTCAAATGTAACATTTCCTTGTGAAAAACATTAAGAAAAGAAGATACTGAACCTAGCTGTTGTACTTTCAATACGACTGATATTTTGTCTTTAATTTTAGAAATGCTTGAAAATGTCTCGAAAATAGCAAAAATCAAGAACAAAAGTTTGTGAAGAAGATAAATCAGAAGACCATTACCTTATAAAGACAACACATTATCTGGTACACAGACAAACCGATAAGTCAAGCCCAGATTCCAGAATGCCATCAGACAATCATCATTTTTACAAACACCTATCTTCATTATTATTTTTGTTTTTAGGGTAAATATATATTTCTAATTATTTCGTACAGATTGTTGATCAAGAGCAGACAATTTGCATAAGGAAGTTAATAAATAAGGGTCACGTTTATCAGTGAGAGATATCTGTGAAAAAGATATACTTCAGACTGTATTCGAAACCGTGCACTTCGTAATATTATTGAAGTTTGGATATATCAAAAAACGATAGAATGTTTTAATAATTTGCCAAAACTTAGTGTATATCATCCCATTTTATGTTTCTGAGCTTTGTTCAAGTAACAGATTGTCAGAAATTTTCATATATTGTGACTTTAGAAAGTAAAAAGCATTAATGGGTTCACGTGACTCGTTTTTTATAATTAATTGTTTCGGACGCATGAGATTTAGGAAGTATTGTTTTCATTCTCAATAGGGTAGCAAATAACATAAAACCGATTTACTTGCAAACATTTTGAATGTGTAATTGTTCAGATTGAGTATGTCATATTTGGTTAAGGAAACCACTACCAAATAATGATGCAGTTCCACAAGTAATATATGACTTTTTTGGGTTTAAAACGGGAGCAAAGTTTTAATAAGTTTTTTCCTTAGTAGTGGTTCAGACAAACTTTTTCTGTAAGCATACTTACACTATCACTTTGTTTAATTTCAGGATATTGGTGATCTTAATTTTGTCATTGTATACAAAAGTTGATACTTTACAGTCCAACACTCAAAGTTTGCTGGAAAAAGTCAATCAGTTAGAGACAGAGTCAAATGAAAAGTTTTCTAACCTTGTAAGGGAGACAAAAAGTTGCACTTCATCAATACAAAGAATTAAAAGAAATGAAGAAAGAATGATAGATACCAGTAATAAAATAAGTGATATTCTACTGTCAGTTGGATCAATAAGAAATGATTTTGAAACAAATATAACAAAAATGAAAGAAATGTTGAGCAAGGAAAAGTCTGATTTAGATTATGTGGTTAAAAAAATAGAAACTGTTATAACAGAACAAAATAATGTTAGGACAATGAAGGAAGAGATGATTACTGTGAAAAGGTCTATTGAACAATGTCTCACTTTAAAAGATGATGTCATTGGCAATGCTGACAGATTAAGAAATGTGAATATGCAGATGGAAAAATTCAACATAGATTCATCAATTCTTCAGCAAAAACACAATCGGTTCAGTCAAAAGATACACGATAACTATAAAAAAATGATTCAGTTAAAAACATTTACTCAAAAGTATGTTTTTGATAATGAGGCATATATGCACAGTTCTTTTGAAATGCTAAAAAAAGATGTGGAAAAAATATATCAGAATATTTCTGCCATTGATATTAACTTAAGCACAGGGTTAATTATGTTAGACAACTTTAAGCTGTTAGTGGAAACTGTACAACAGGTAAAAATAACGAAAATGGAAGTTAAATTAGATAAAACACAACATTCATTCAGTTCTTTATTAACGGAAGTAAAAACCCATGGTGAAGAGATCTCAACAATACTAGAAAGATTACAGACCTTGAAGAAAACTACTGAAATCTTAAGTATGGGTAGGTAGATTAATTCACAGTCAATTTTTCTTTAAATTCACCTAAAATTATAATATAAAGGTAATTGTTTTAATTTCTATTCATTGAAGAGTTTGTCTTCAACGCAGGGAGAGAGAAGGTTCCAAACAAATATATTAATCAGTTATTGCTGGTTCTGTTTGACGATATAGAAGATTTAACTAGAAAATATATGCATCGTTCCTTTTTTCTTAGATATTGGAGGCAAATGGTTACTGGTACAGACAATGACTGTTCTTTTAGTTTTGTTTGTTTTTACCATATGTGGTGCTCAGTTTTATAACAGTAAGACTAAGATTGGCGAAATGGAGAAGAAAATACAATACCTTACAGTAAACAAGGATAAACCATCCTTGCAGTATGTTAGTACACTATAATACTATCCAATAATAAAAATTATATTTACTGATCGGTGCCAAACGTAAGGCTAATAGTCACCATTTATGCAAATGTTTGGAATGTGGATGGCGATGTATCAGTCACTTATTACAAAGGTGCTGCAATTAAGTTTTTGACCATTCAGTCTGTCAGTCATTTTTGTTTTCGGATGTTTTTTTCTGATAACGTATATTGGATTGCAACCATAATTCTCTAAATGGTCACATAAAATGATAGGAAGATTCCTATTGTTTTGAAGTCACTACATTCAAAGTCAATGTTAAAGTTACTCAAAATAGTTCAGAAGTTGTACAGAAAAGTGGTTTCCGAAAGCTCTTTCATATACGCAACAAGGGATTGCAACCTTACTTTGAGTTTTTGAGTCAGTTGTGTTGTATGTCTGTGATTTATGTTTTCACAGCTTTTGCTGCTGGATCCAAATTATTGTCATATTAACCAGTTATGTCCATTTGTGTTGCTCACCCAATTTTGTCAATATAACGGAACTATAAACAACTGTCATTAAAGTGGGAGGCTTAGCTGTCGATAAAACTAAGTTTAACCAACCACTTTCCTCGGAAAATGCCAGTAACAAGTCAGGATAATGATAGTTGTTTTACCATTCGTTTGTTTGGTTGATATAGTCTAACGTTTGTTTTATCAGGTTTTTATGGACTTCCTCCTTTTTGAATTTACCTTGGAGTTCGGCATAATTTTGTTAATACCTTTTTGACATATAAACATCTCTATTGAGAGGACGAAACGTTATAGTTTTGAGTTTGAAGTTCAAGATCAAAGTTACTTAGATAAGACCAAAACCTTTGCAGAAAAAAAGATATTTCCAGATGCTTTATAATTTTGTTTATAAAACTGATGGCACCCTAACTCGGATGATAAGATGGAAATCATTATGATTTGAGGTCAATGGGTTTAAGCTGAAGATTGTGAAAGATATACCACTGTTTATGCAGAAAAGTGATATTCAATTGTTAAATCTTTTTTTATTTATTCAGTTTTCAGTCTTAGGTGAAAAACAAAGTTACTTGAAACAGATGTTTGACTGACAATATCATAACAGAATAATCATACCTATAGTAATCAGAAGACGTATACCAGCAGTTCTATAAGCTCTTCCCTTTAATGTTCTTTAATTACATTTTGGCTGACCTACCCAGAGGGCAATTGTGATATTTTATTATCACTTCTAATCAGTGTGTTGTTGCTTAAATTTAGTAAAATAAACTCTTCTAATACCACTAGGCCAGTTGTATTCAAACTTAGTCACAATCGTTCTTGGAGTATTGCGATTCAGAATTGTATTTGATATTCTATCGGTCGACCATATTGATTCGGTCTATATATATATATATATAATCAAAATAAAATGATTAGTGCGCAAAATTAATTTTTCATGTGTTAAATAACCCTTTCAAGGCCATAGAGATGCCTCTTTTGGTGACCTTTTTTAACTGAATTTAAATTTTTGATTCGCTGTCACATTTTAAATTTTATTTTAATGCAACTTCATCTTTTATATTTATTTTGAAGGCACATATGCTATCAGATGTTTTTTAAGTGGGTGTTGTTCGAACATTCTGATAAAAATAAGCAAATGCACATTAAATCAACTGATTTGTGGAATTTTGAAGAATATCACCGTTAAACATAACAGTACATATAATTTTTGTTAAAAGTTTAAGAACTCGGCATGTAAAAATCAACTATTCTTACCGCCAAAATTTGTTTAAATAGCTATCAATTAGAAGTCAAATGTTAAGATTTTTCATACTCAGAGTCATAATAAAAAATTAAAAATTTAATTTCCAGGAGTCCCTCAGTATTGTTGAACAAATAAAGAGAAAACAACCAGAGGAACTTGAGAACATGTTCTGTGTAATAAGTTTCAGTCAAGAAACACACAACAAACATAGAAGAATAACAAGACCTAGTGTGGAGGGTCGACTGAGGATAAAAAAAATGGACGAAGCAGATTTCGTGGTAACCAATGATAAAAGTGTGTTGAATATACCACGCTGTAAAGTTCTATTGGTGTTTGTGGACCACAATCAGAAAGATGTGATTTTAGAGACCCCAGGTGAAGATGAAGAAGATATCAAATTATTAACCGTACAGGCCTGCCGTAAAATCGGAGGTAGGTTACATCATGACAGAATAATCAATAAGGCGTGCTATCATATCACATGACGACGTTACAGTCGGACTTTTTGATGTCACATACGCCCGTTGGCTGTATTTCCTGGCTAACGAAATGTAGCCACATTAGATTAGCGACAGCAAGAGGATTGAAAATGAGAGGCGAAGGATACCAAAGGGACATTAAAACTTATAAGTCGTAAATAAACTGACAACGCCATGGCTAACAAAGAAACAGACAATGAATAGTACACAAAGCACAACATACAAAACTAAAGACTGACCAACCCCACCAAAAACTGGGGGTGATCTCAGGGGCTTTGGAAGGGAAAGCAGATCCTGCTCCACAATTTTTTGGTTGAATCAGAATGATTTATTTGATAAAATACGATATATTCCTCCCTAAGAAAAATACTTGTACTAACGTTGGCATTCTTTTTTATGAAACAAAGCAGGACCAACTCTTTCAATTTGTCTTTTAGTTTCGATTGGAGAATTCTTGTGCAAAGTGTGAAAAGGTTAATTGTTTTATACTATTGCAAGACGAAGGAGTCTTAGATTGTATGTACTCTAAAAAGATCTTTAGATTGTTTTAGTATCCACATCTTTTTCACGCCACCTCTAGAATAGGTAGTTTCACAATAACTTTGATGCCCGGCTTTGATTGCTAATAAAATTGATGTTGAAAATTAAGAAAGAGGTTTCGTGGAGCACTTGGAAGACGAAGCAATAAAATGTTGGTAAGGACACTTATGTAGTTTAGATATCCAATACAGTGAAGGAAGATCCAGTTCTTCCAAAGGAACATAAAACAGACCTATGATTATCCAGGAGTATGCAATAACACGAACCCCTCCAAAACTTGGAGGTAAGTCCGATATTTCAGAAAGGTAAGCAAGTCCTACTCCAAAAGTGGCACCAGTCGTCTTATTCATTGCAAGTATGTAACAATAGAGAACAAGAAGACAGGGTTTTGGTTACGACAAGTGAACGAATTCATGGTCATTATCTGAAACACAGACATTCCAAAAATTTCATCCAAACCTTAATTGCTTCCGTAAACCTTACGAAGGGATGACTTTAACTTTTCCATTTGGACCATTGATGCAATAGCGTCAATATAAGCAGTAACCCTCTTTCAAGGAAATCAAAGTCTGGAATATCGTATCAACTGGGAGATATATACTCAATAAGCAGGCGCTGCTTGAATGTTGCTAAAAGAAAATGAAAGTTGAGAATTAGAAAACGAAATCATGTCTTGAGTCGTCAATGCTAGTTCTCAACCGACTCATAATGTCATTTTGAATTGAAATCAAGCTTTGTAATAGACTTAACTTTAATTGTGGTATCCTCAATTTTAAATTCGTTTTGAAAGATACAGTCGAAATAGTCTCCAAAATCAGTGAAGGACATTATATATATATAGCGAAACGTCTGTGCTGTTATACCGGAAAGAGTCTCGTCTATCGTTTGTAATGTAAAACGTGTTTCTATTTCAAATTGTACAGTCAGTCAAGTTTCAGGGTAAGAACATTTACCTGACCGATGGTGAATTAATTTGATGATGTTTTAGGGTTTGATAAGAGTCAATTACCAATCCGCTATTGATATAACTCATCAACGTATTTTATTGGAGTAACATGACAAGTGTCGCATGTGGAGCCTTGGAGGTGTTTGTGTTGCTAAGTCTTTAGTTTTCTATGCTGTGTTTTGTATACTGCTTGTCCTTTGATCTTCTTTCATTTTTTGCCATGGCATTGTCAGTTTGTTTTCGACTTAGGAGTTTTTTGGTATATTTTGCCTCTCTTTTACAACATTAACAACAGGCAAATTTCTTTATGTATAGGGAACAATTTGAAATGATAAGGAAGGGCTAGTAATATGTTAAACATTTAGAAAACGAATGAATACCGCTACATCTAGCTCCAGAGGTAAAGGATTTAAGACAAACTTGTGAAATTTTAAGATTTCCGTCATAGCAGTTGAGTGCTTAGTTATCGATGCAGTTTGTCTGTAGTCGAGTCATCCGGTTTACTTCATTTTTCAGGAATACTCGACTTCCCGGACTTTTCCGGTTTCCTCGTCACAACACGTGTATTAGGGATTGCCTCTAGTTTCTCGTAATCTGCTCTTACCAGCGCTCGTCCTTTTTCAGAAATACTTATTTTTAAGTTGTGAATATGCTGTTCTAGCATGCCCACTTCATCGTCCTGTATACTCCCGTTATCAAATATATCGGACGTCGGATCCGACACATCGATTACATCTGCATACGACATCTGACTTTAACCAAATTCATTTATCAACTGATAGCTTTTTTATCGCGCTATTTTTAGTAATAGACACGTGAATAGCCGGTTGTGTAAAACTAAAAAAAATTGAAATTTAGTCGCCAATATGAAATTATCAAATTTAAAAACTAGATATGAACGTACGAATATAAGATTGTATACACATTTTAAAAAATCAAAAGGAATACACATGATTGGCATGTCACAAAGGATGAACCTCTCTGCCAGAACACACAACCTTAGTTTTCCGTTACCAACAGCAGAATGAAAAAATCTCAATTCTTTAAAACACAAGTCGACAAAGGAAACAATCAATTATCGTTGTTTTAATAATAAATTCATAACAAGTTGTTTCATAAAATTAATGTAAAGAACTGAATTTATCTGAACGGTATAACGTTTATTTCTTAAATCTCGAGTCGCCAAATTTATATTTTGAATTTTATTAAAAATAGCACGTTTGTTGTGTTTTTATTATGAATTCAGGAAATAAAAGTTTAACTTACGACTTTCTACCTAGAACTTATTTAAGGAATAGTTTCAATAGGGGAAGGATACAGTTTGCAGAAACGTTTTTTGAAGTGTTTGTTTATCATAGCTAAGGTTGCATCAACTTGAAACCTAGTAAATATATAAAAAATAAACAAATATGGTATGATTGCCAATGAGACAACTATGCATAAGAGTCCAAACTAAATGGATTAAAGCAACTATATGTCACCGCAAAGCCTTAACAATAAGGAATTTCATACTATAATCAGCTATAAAAGGCCTAGACATCACAAATGTGAAACAATTTAATCAATAAAACCAACGGCCTAATTAATGATCAATCATTAACCAACGACAACAAGTGAATTATTATTGTTATCCATTCGTTTGGTGTGTTTGAGCTTTTGATTTTGCCATTTGATTAGGGACTTTCCTTTTTGAATTTTCCTCGGAGTTCAGTATTTTTGTGATTTTACTTTTTACAAGCTCATGACCACAGACAAGCACTTATAGAATTGCAGGGTTATACGTGATTTTTTTTTATTAATTGTTTTTGGCTTTTTACTAGCTGTCAGTAACTGCGAGTAGTCTCAAATCGTACTTTCTTGTTTATTTGACCTGTTGATACTAATTGTAATGCTTTAATGTTATTTAATGTTTACTTATTCAGGGTTATATCTGGTCTATATACCAGCTTTGATAAGTGTTTGGTATTACTATAAATTTTCACTTCTTCGTACTATGAACATCAAAATTATTTATTTTGATAAAATATTTCCTTTCTCCTTTTGAACTGTACACGTATACCTAACAACAAAATTATTTTCATTTACCTGTGTTTAAAGTAATTGCAAATGGCTGATATTTTTGTTCAAGCATATTGTTTTTCTTAAATTGTTTAACATTTCACAGCGGTATAACATGTTACTTTAATTATTCTTCCCTTAGTTTATTTATTTTGTATTTTCATTGTATCATAGATCAAATTTATTTGTTCAGTGTATGTTCACTTGTGTTAATATGTCTTTTGATTGAGTAAAGCCATTTCAATTGATATTTTATAGTGTGTCTTTCTATGTTGTGATGTTACACTATTGTTTCAGATAAGGGTGAAGGTTTGGTACCATTCAAAAGTTTAAACCCGATGCAATTGTTTGCACCTGTCCTAAGTCAAGAATCTGATGTTCAGTAGTTGTCGTTTGTTGATGTGGTTCATAAGTGTTTCTCGTTTCTCGTTTTTTATATAGATTAGACCGTTGGTTTTCCCGTTTGAATGGTTTTACACCAGTAATTTTGGGGGCCCTTTATAGCTTACTGTTCGGTGTGATCCAAGGCTCCGTGTTGAAGACCGTACTTTGACCTATAATAGTTTACTTTTATAAATTTTGACTTGGATGGAGAGTTGTCTCAATGGCACTCATACCACATCTTCTTATATCTATTAACATGTTTTTTGGCGCTCAACCCTACCCTAATCTGGAATAGTGATTTAACAGCTCTATATTATTCATTATGAAGTGAGATGTTTAATATATATTGCCAAATTATTGCTTTGAACCAGATTTCGTGGTTTAACGAACATGCGAATGACAATGTTATAGCCGAGTAGGTCATGGTATCCTATTGAAACATATTGTTGTTATAGTTCTGATAAATTTTTATTGAATCACCTTTTCGTCGCAAAAGCGAGACGTACTAATCCTACGTTCCGTCACCGTTGTTACCATTTTGGTTCAGTCTATGGTTTAAGTTTTTGAGACTTCAATAACGTTGCCAAATTTTTATGGTAATTTATGAAACTTGGATGGACGCTTTTTTTGTGATAGCATTCAGAGAAAACGTTTGAAAATATTATTACACCTTATTTCATTTTCCTGATACATACATATAATAAGTTGGGAGGGTTTATACTAAAAAAAAGGAGAAAGCATCGTAATTTTTACGATATCGTTCTATCTAGAGGTCCTCAATTTAAATACGATCCATGAACACTTATTGGTCCATTAGATAAACATTCTGAAAATCCATTTATTTTTATAAAGCAATAAGAACTTTGAATATTGCCTTTATCGGTAGTCACATTGATTTTGTTATCAATAAAGTATATCAAATAAATATATTTAACTATACAATTCTGAACAATGATGGTTTTACATCCTGTATATTTTTGCAATGCACAATCTCATGCTAATCTCTTTATGTTTATGATGTCTTTACAATAAATCTGCTGTATGAGTACTGATTGATATTTTAGTCTGGAGGAACATAATTTAAATGAATTATTAGTTGAAGTTGTCTTTGAACAAGCTCTTCTTTACTGACAGTACTCTTAAATCGGTATTTTGTATCTTTTGGTTCTCTGTTTTTTTATTACAGTCGAACCTCGTTGTGTCGAACTCGGTTGTGTCGAAAACTCGGAGGAGTCGAAGTAATTTCTCGGTCCCGGTAAAATTCCAGTTTGATCAATGCATAATTACCTCTGATGTGTCGAACTCGGTTGATTCGAATACTCGATTAAATCTAGTAAATTTTATAGTCCCGTCGATATGAAGTTAATGTAAATTGACCCCGATGTCTCGAAGTTCGAAAGTAAGAATTATCTCTGGCTCAGAATAGAAACAAGATAAATAATACTTTATTTTTGGCCGAAAATTATTGTACAAGTTCATTTAACAAATAATTTATACATATACAAGAAATAGAGTATACAAAATTGCGGGCCCTACACAAATAACCCGCATAAGTTAAATCTAAACTCACTAGTACAATAATTAAAAATTAGGGATGGGCGGGAGGGTAACTAATCGAAAATATATCTTATAATGAATACAAAATACCTTAAAAGTACTCACTGAACAGATACTATTGATAGTACAGAATTACGAAATGTTGAAAGAAACGAACTTCGCATATAATTATGCGTTTTTAGAATTAAAAACTGAACAATTTTCGAAAGATGCAGACCTAATGATAAAATTCAAATCGGAATTATTTCTTATGTAACCTAATCATTTTCAAATTACTTGTTTGTATAACAGTTAAAATGACATGTTTATGGTGGCCGGTAATTAGCACCTTTGTTGATCGTTCAAGCGGAACGTTAGTGTGTTGAACATATTTCACATGAGATGAAAACGAAACAAATTTAAATGACACAAGCCGAGATTAAATGAATCGTTAGAATTAAAACTCGTTAATTACATAAATAAAAGGATTAAGACAATTATGATAAATTCATGATTATTTAATGTAAAGTAGAGGACCTCATCAGAGACAGTTCAGAACTTATTTCGTTCCGCGAGTGATTTCAAAATTTATAGTGACTGACCTTTGTAAATATTTGTGTAGACTATTGATTGTATTTGTGCATGATTTGTGTTTGTACTTGTATGTTTAATTATTATGAAGGACCATAAATGGAGATTGAATACACAATCATAAAGTGTCATTTCGAAAAAGGCAAACTGTTCAAAGTATCTAGTTTACGCAAATTCATACCGTGTTTCATGCATTTAAAAAATATGACGACACACTCGACCTCGGATCAGTCGAACCTCGGATAAGTCGAATACTTTGATCCGGTCCCTTCGACTTCGTAGTTTATTTCTGTGCTGCTTCGTGTCGATTTGATGAGTCTATCACTTTCCTTTCCAACTTATTCTAACAGTTTCTTCTTATGTTGTGCTGTTATACCACTTTTCTGGGTTAGGAGCCGGGTTTAGCGCCTAATTCCGCCACTAATTTTATATGCTTGTCTTTGTGATTTACATTTTATCATGTCGGGGTCTTTTATTGATTACCATAAGTATAAATATTGCTCATTGTTGATGTCTGTGCTATAACATTAAGTTGTTTACTTCTTTAGTGGATAGAAGTATCGTTGGAAATCATACCACCCTCATTGCGTGTTTGCAGTAAAAAAAAACACATTAAGAACCTATGTGTGCATATCATTAGTACAGTTAGTTGCATGATTTTGGTTAATAAGTTGTGTAAGTTAAATAGTTAGCGAAAACTATTGGGATTCAATGCACTCCCTTACTGTTATACATGTACTGCACATATTTTATTCAAAGCCATTTGTTTACTGACTCATTGACATATACACCACACCTTCTTTAATCATATAATCATGATTTTAGTGACTTTTTTTCAGGCGATGTGTTTGTGATATATGTAGGTGATGAAGGATCAGAATCGCTGATGGCAGGATGTCTTTACAACCCACAGTTGACAACAGTAGCAGAACATTTTGAACTCAAACAACTTGAGCAGAGAAACCGAGTTATAACATGCCATGAGAAGTTCACCATTACACAGCGAGAGAAAGTTGCTCAGGCTATTGCTTGATTCGATCAGTTCACACACTGTTGAGGACAGAGAATGGTCTTTTTCCTTGTTGTTTTTTTGTTGTTTCTATGACTAACTAATTCTGAAAATTATGATATAAATGTCCGATTAAGTAATGTAAAAACATGCAAGAACATCAATTTTAATACAATTTTAAAGTAAAGGTTGGACCACTGAGTTTTGCTTGATTTTACTACAAAATAGAAAATATTAAAATTGAAAGTTTAGTTGTTGTAGATAACTTTCATCAGGGACGATGAAACCTTAACATTTGAATTTTAAGAATGTATCAAAACGTTGCTACGTTTTGAGTTTATTGCGGAAAGAGACATAAGAAGAATAGCCAAATTCATCCCAGGTCAACTTTGCCTGAGGGAGTTGTAACATTGGTTTCTTAATAATTTCTGAATTTATCACCGAATTTTTTATATTAACGTTATAAACCATGTAGTATACTGCACATTCTTTTTCGTCAGAGATTTCATCTAATGTTTTCATTATCAAAGAATTCATCTAATGTTTTCATTATCAAAGAATTCATCTAATGTTTTCATAATTAAAGAATTCATCTAATGTTTTCATTATCAAAGAATTCATCTAATGTTTTCATTATCAAAACAACTTATAAGTTCTTGTCTACAATAAACATTTTTATGACAGAGTACATTATTGATAGGGTTTATTCTTTTGTCAGTCTTATCTATTCTGTTTTCGGTAAAACATGTGCATATCAATATTCCACGTTAATTCCTTTATAGATTTTCAGGGCGTGTATATGGTCTTTGTGACTCTACTTCTTTTCACAATATGTTTTTGCCTTGATGTTGCCAATATTAGACTCCAATCGGGAAAAAAATAAATGTATGTTGGTGGAAACTCTTGACCGACCATAGATTCTTATGAAATGTATGTTTCGATTAATATGCTACTTAATCCAGAGACTTGGCATTTATCTATTATGAATTTCTCTTTTGACTATATGGGTAAAATATGAAGAAGATTCCTCTCTTCGAAATTTTTTTCTCATTTGCATTGTGATGATAGCTGTACAATGCTTGCTTTAAATCTAAACATTGTTATGCTTGGAACCTCTTGGGTGCTACTGGCACATTGCAGTCTCTGATTAGATTACAGGTAGTATTTTGATATACTTTTAATTTTATTTACAGGGAATTATGGAATTTAAATATTGCCTTTTTGTTTTGTCTGTCAAGAGTATTCATATATAAAATTGAGAATGGAAATAAATATTTGGATAAATAAATGGATATATATCTTTTATAAAAAAAAATTCTATTGTGATTTTAATTTTAAATTTGCACATATTTTTATGCTTTATTTGATGAAACTGTTTATTTATGATGTAGTTCTATTCAAATGACCTTTTTACACACGGTCAAATAACACTGATCACTTACATAGACTAGAACTTAGATTTCACTAATTCGAACATGCTTATAGTCTTTTAATGTTGCTTTTTGTCTATTTCTTCATGTTAGTTATTTTTGGGCTTCGTGCCGATTTATTGAGTTACTATTAAACAACTGCCAACTGATTTACTGTTACATAACTGTCTCAGATAAGGCAGACGAAGAGCGCTCACTAACATGTTTACCCCGCCACAGTCTTTATGTACCTGTAACGGAGCTCCCAAGTCAGGAGCATTTAATTCAGTGGTTGGCGTTGGTTCATCTTTGAACTATTTGTTTTTCGTCAATTGTTTTGTTATAAATAAGGCCGTTAGTTTTCTCATTTGAATTGTTTCATGATATACATTTTGGTAGCAGGTAAGACATTTGTCCATATTTGTATAATTTTATTAAAATAGAAGAAAACTTTAATGTATGTCAAATGACCTGTACAGGATTAAGAACAACTTCAGTCAAAAATATTTTATTTACTATGCTCAAAACATTTTTATTTTTTATGAACCATGAATATTGTACATTTACAAATAAACCAAATTAGTTATATTAATGTTAACAAGACTACTCTTTCATAGATGACAGTTGTCCAATTTTTTTATTCATTTATCCTGCTGTCCATTTTCACTTGAATCCCCACCATCCGTTTAAAACAGTCTCTGGATTAAAAAAAGTCAGTAAGAAATTGTGTTCCTTATACATCTTATAACAATTTTTTCATTTTAAGATTGTTTTGGTTTTTTCTTAGCAGAACATGAATATTATATGCAAGACTCAAATCTACGTCTGGTCTCTAATCGACGTCCGTTCCGCAAAGCGACGTCTAAATCTGACGTCAGAATGAAATAAGATTCCAAATCGAAGACCAATTCTATGCCCCTCTAATCGACGTCGTTTTTTGTTGTTGTACTCAAATCGACGTCCACTATTTGCAGCTTCTCTTATCGATGTCCTTTTTACATTCTTGCTGCAATGACGTCACAAAGCGTCCTTTTGCGTCACAACTTATTTGCGCTAATGCTACGTTCGCGCCACTAGTTTTAAAAATGCGTTTTATCAATTGCGCCAAAAATAAAGTATACGATTGCGCCAATTTAAAAAAAAAAGACTTGCCTCCTCCTTTATCTAGGCTTGGGACCAGCTTTCTACACTGGACTGAGGAGTTCAAGTCATTTAAAGGATGTACTTAGGTGAGGTTTAGGAATTTGTGTCAGATGTTCGGACTCCTTGGTTTTTTTCCTTCAATACAGGGTAAAATATTTTGCCCCATAACACCCATTTTTCTTTTCATATAAGACTTCCATAGCTCATAAAAGGTCATTTTCAAAATTTAAGCAGATTCTAGATTTCTTTTCTTTCGATTTGAGACCCAAATAATACCAATGCAAATATAAGGTAAAAGTCCAAGTCAGCCTTTTCCCGCTTTTAAAAAAAAAATAAATATCTTGAAATGGAGCTCCATTACCTATCAATATTTTTTGCTTATTTTGATCCTTAACTAATGCTTTTTTGACTTATAGTATCAATCTTAAATTCTATTTTTTTAAATTTCACTTAAGTACATCTTTAAGTCATTTACTAGCAGATTTTAAAACATAAAACTATGTACAGTCAGAAAACATAACCGGTTATATTAAAGGCTGGAATTTGTAACTCATGACACAAACAGAATCTCTACGGCTGAGTTTTCCGCTGGTATACACTGGCAAAAATGCCACACATGTGTACATGCGTGACACATGCGTTTCACATGCGTGTCACACGCATGTGAAAGAGACGTTTCATGCCACGCATGTGACACATGTGTGAAAAACACATGTGATACGCATGATACACACATGTGATCATGCGTTTCACATGTGAATCACATGCGTAAGGAAATACACCTGTGATACATGCGTGATTACTACATGTAAAAGGCATGGTGCCTGTATTAAATATTTTTCAAAATGTCCTCCTATTTGTCCAATTACCATGATTGTTGACATGTTTCTCAGTTCTCATGTGAATTACATGCAATTTCTAACACATTTTTCTAACACATGCGTTATACATGTGTTTTCTCTATATATACACAGGCAAAATGAAATTAAGGTGAATTGAGCATCAATCACACAAATTCACAGTATTTGAGCAAATTTTAGATAAGTTAATGCTAAGCTAGTACACATTCTATTTTGATATATAAATATTCTTCTTGGTCTTTACTATGTGTTCATACTTCCATTATATTTTACTTTCTTGATCCTAAACAATACAAAAAATATTTATCTATCAACTCCCAACTCACAATATCTCCAATGCAAGAGATAAGATGCAATAAAACAAAGAAGGCAAGCAAATATCCAGGTCACCTTAGTTCACTCCTAGAATTTTTTCGGTTATGTTCAAGTCTCAATACTTTTTTTAAAAGTCATGTAAGGATTGGTGATTCATTTATAGAATATGTATGCACTAATGTATATTTCATTTTTAATATGTATGTACAAGTCATTTTGTGGTTATCAGCCATGAGACAATCCAATCCCATTATGGAAATAGTCTTACTTGCAAAAGATGCCAATTTTTCTTTTGAAAGTTTTGAAGAAAAAAAGTATTTCACCCTGCCACATATTCCTGTGCCTGTTTCAAGCCAGGAACCTTTTCAGTGGTTGTCTAAGTCTCATCCTAATGTTGAGGACTGTATGTTAGCACCTTAATGCCTTTCATGTGTTTTTGTTGTGTAGCTGTCTGATTTATTTATACCTCATATCTCATTGTATTAATAAACTGAAATAGAAAGTTCTGTGAAATATATTTTGATATACCATATTGAAAGTCTTGCTGTTATTTACAACCATTTCCTTCTTATTTCATATATCTATTTCAGTTTTTCATTTTAACACCAATCTTAAGGTTAAGGCAAAAAGAAAACAAATGTTGACAAACAACAGGCATATACCATTAGAAGATTTCAAAGTTTGGCTGCACAATAAACTAAAAATTCTTGTTATTTCAAATATTTATATAAAAATCAGTTTAAAACATGCATTTTCCATTTTTAGACTGTAATTGTCATGTTGGCACAATAATTTGAATTTGAATTGTATTATATTCTGAGAGTACTTGTGGTTGAAAAAATATACACGATATTTAATTCCATGTGTTTTAGATTTCTTGAATACACAACTCCCATATAATGACTACATGTCTGTTAGTAATGTTAAGAGTTCTCTCCTGCATGTAATTGCTGTAATTGCTATTTGTACCCAAGGCTTCCTTCATATATTTGCACTTATCCTTCTAAGATGTTGCTTGAATGATAAAATCCTGTAATACATTATCAGCCATCAGACTCTTGGAATACAGTTGCTGTAATAAAAAAAATAAACTGTAATCACAGAGATATGCCTCGCTTTTTAGTAATTTCGATAATGCAAATGTTGAAATTAAAATAGCAACACTTTAACATGTAAGATTTGCAAATATTCAAAGTCAATGAACCATGACTAAAGGTACATGGCTAAACAATCTCCATGGAAATTAGATGTGCCAATGCTAATACAACGCATACCAAATACCATTGACTTATCATAAGTAGTTCCCTTTAAAAAACCTAAACACAAACTAATACATGTAAACTAAGAAAATTTTAAAGTCAATAAACGATAACTGAGGGGGGGGGGGGGGGGGGGGGGGGGGGGGGGATAATCTCCATGGTAATGAGATGTGCCAATGCTAATACAACTGCATACCAAATATCATTGACTTACCACTAGTGGTTTCCCATAAGCCAACCTAATCACAAACTAATACATGAAAACTAAGCAAAAGTTTCAAAGTCAATAGACCATGACTGAGGGGGCAGGGCCAAATAATCTTCATGGAAATGAGATATGCCAATGCGTATTTAACTGCATACCAATTATCATGAACTTACCATTAGTGGTTCCCCATAAACTGACCTAGTCACAAACTAATACATGAAAACTAAGCAAAAATTTAAAAGTCAATAGACCATGACTGAGAGGGTGGGGCCAAATAATCTCCATGGAAATGAGATATGCCAATGCTTATACAACTGCATACCAATCATAATTAACTTACCACTAGTGGTTCTCCATAAACTGACCTAATCACAAACTAATACATGAAGACTAAGCAAGAATTTCAAATTAAGTCAATAAACCATAATTGAGGGGGCGGGGCCAAATAATCTCCATGGTAATGAGATGTGCCAATACTAATACAACTGCATACTAAATATCTTCGACTTACTACTTGTGGTTCACTATAAACTAGACCTAATCACAAACTAATACATTGTTGACGCCGCTGTCGTCACCAACGCCAGAAACAGCATACCTATGCCTCGCTTTTTGACTCCGTCAAGCGAGACAAAAACAGCATATATTTTTTGTAAAACATACATCAAATATTGGATTACCAATCAGGCAAAAAATGATAACATCAATTTAATCTCCAATGATTTACCAAACTTACATATATATATATATATATCGTGTGAACAACTGGAGTGGAATATAATAGTTGTTGTTTATCATATTTATTTTTTCGTTTAATGTCTTTTACGTAAATTAGAATTGTATTACATCTGTAATTTCAGGACCTTTTATAGCTTGCTAGATGCAGTATCAGTTTTGCTCATTGTTGAAAGCTGTTCATACAGTGATCTATAGTTGCTAAAATTCAGTCATTTGGACTTTGGTGGATAGTTGTCTCATTGGCAATAAAACTACATATTCTCATTTTTATCAACATAAATTACCGTAATAATGAAAACTAACTCTATTCATGCATGTGTACTACACATTACCTGTATATATAATATATACTAGAATACTCCGGGACATCATGGTGTTGTGACTGAAGCAAAGTACCTTAGCCTTATTTTTAGCCTGAATTTTAAGATTTTTCGTTTTGTCATCTAATAATGTCATGCTGGTCATTAGGTGCACAGTTTTCTCTGCTTTCAAAATCTTTCTTTTTGAACCCTTCGACCCAGAACTTGTTAATTATCTGTAGTAATAATTATGTGGAAAACAAATGGGCCTGGAATGGTGTAATTTTTAATCAACACCATTGTCCTATATATATAAGTTATAAATAAAGTTGAATTCTTTGAATCGTCATTTTTATGTCATGCCGGCTCACAAATTGGACCTTGTTATTTTAGTATTATAGATCTAGATTACTAAGCGCTTGTAGAAACACAATTCCTCATTTTTCAAGCCCCTTTCTTACATGTCTTAACCTCATTTAAATTACAATACCAACTAAAAGCTCCAAGGAGCCTGTGTCGCTCACCTGATATTTTTTTTATTTTACAATTGATGCATGAAATAATGCAACCAATATACTTTTGCTTTAGTTTCAAAGATATAAGTCAAAAACTGCATTTTTCCCCCTATGTTCTATTTTTAAACTAGATACCCTAATGCTTATTATGGCCAAGTTTGGTTAAATTTGTCTCAGTTGTTTCAGGAAAAGACTTTTGTAAAAGATTACAAAAATTTACGAAAAAATTGTTAAATTTGACTTTAAAGTGCAATAACTCCTTATGGGGTCAATTGACCATTTTGATCCTGTTGACTTATTTGTGAATCTTATTTTGCTGAACATTATTGCTGTTTACAGTTTATCTCTTTGATAATGTTCAAGATAATAACCAATAAATTGCTTTGCCGAGCGCAGCTGGATATGACCACAGAGGTCCAACCCTGAACAGTTGGGGCAAATATGGACACAATATTCGCGCTTGATACAGGTCTGAATTTGGATTGCAATTCAATATTTGACACATAATAGGTTTCTGACACAGAATAACTGTAGTCAAAGAACTTAGAATTGGTTATATGATTTGAATTTATATTCAAAATTTTGCTTTTGTGTAATACACTATGCTGTTGCGAATTGACCTCCATCCCCTTTTTAAAAAAAAAAATAAATTTGAAGGATTTTCTTTTTGATTTTGATTTCTGAAATCTTGAGGAGAAAAAATTGTCCGCCCCCCCCCCCCCCCCCCCCCCCCCCTTTTTCCAAAAAAAAAAATCTTTCCCTCAGTTATGGTCATAATTTCAATTCAAATTTCCAAGATGTATTTGAATTACCTCCCTTACACTGTAATTTGTACTTAAGTAATTGTCCATTAACCAGGACACCCTTGTTTTTTCTCACTTTTTTGCCCCCAATTCCTAAATGGTTTGAGCCATAACCCCCCAAAGCCAATCCTAACCATCCCTTTGTGGTATGGAAACTTGTAGTATAATTTCAGAGAGATCCATACACTGTTCCACAAGTTATTGTCATGAAACTAGAAAAATGCTTATTTGGGCCCCTAATTCCTAAACTGTTGGGACCATAACCCCCAAAATCAATCCCAACCTTCCTTTTATGGTTATAAACCTTATGTTTAAATTTCATAGATTTCTATTTACTTATACTAAAGTTATTGTCCGGAAACCAAGTGTCTTTGGGCGACGACAACGACAACGTGATACCAATAATTTTTTGTGGTCGAAAATTGAAAAAAAAAATTCTTAAAATTACCAATTCAGGGGCAGCAACCCAACAACGGGTTGTCTGATGCGTCTGAAAATTAAACAGAGATAGATATTCACCTGATGAACATTTTTACCCCATGTCAGATTTGCTCTAAATGCTTTGGTTTCAAAGTTAGAAGCCAAAAACTGCATTTTACCCCCATGTTCTATTTTTAGCAATATTGGCCATCTTGGTTGATGGCCAGGGTCAACGGATACATTTTTTAAACTAGATACCCTAAGGATGATTTAGGCCAAGTTTGGTTTTATTTGGCCCAATAGTTTCAGAGAAGATTTTTGTAAAAGTTAACGGACGACGACGGACGCCAAGTGATGAGAAAATGATGCAATTAACAGCAAAAGTAGGCGAGACACTGGGTTCTGCGGAACCCTTACGATTTTTTTGAAATTGCCTTGGAATTCAGTATTTTTGTTATACCATTTGGAAATTAAATACTGTAACAAATACATACCAGTTACATTTATATATACTGTAGCTATAGGATCTCCTCAATATCTAATCCTGTTGTTAATTTCATTTAAATATATAATGTATATAGCTTCCCTTCCACTTACATCTGAGGAGCTAATTCTGAAAATTAAAATTCCTGTGATTATCATATAAAATCTTAACCTGGTGCAGTCTGCTTTCCAATAAGAACAAATTAGGAATACAGTTATCCCTTGGCAAAGAGAGAGAAAACAAGTGATATTTTCATATTATAACCAATACTGCACATGGTAATTGGAACATCACTAGTTTTCTAGATTGGATTGTTGCTCACTTTGTCAGGATCTTTTACAGCTGACTATATACTGTAGAAACATTAATTTTCGTGGGGTTAAAATTTCGTGGTTTTGTCTCTTTACAAGATTTCATGGGGATTTAATTTCGTGGTTTCCAGTAAATGGAAGTGATATTATATGTAGGTTAAATTTTCGTGGGGGTTTTAATTTCGTGGATATATTCTTTCCACGAAATAAACGAAATTAAATCCTCCACGAAAATTTCTGCTTTTACAGTAGTATGGTTTTGTTCATTGTTGAAAGTCATACAGTGACCTAAATTTTTTTACATCCTCTTTGACTAATGGAATGTTTTCTCATTGACAATCCTACCATACATTGTAAGACCTTATTTATAAAATACTAAAGTCACTCCAGTCATGCTTCAGTGATTCCCTATATAATCAACCAAATTTTTACCACAAAAGGGGGGCCGCCCCCCCTGGATCTGCCTATGGTAAAATCAAGTTTAATGAAGGCCAAGCTTAAAATACAATACAGTTATCTACTTTCTAATGCAGCATATTAAAATAAATACCATTTAACAAATATTTTGCATTGTCTTTAGCAACTAAACAATGTGACGTCATATGCGTACTCATGATGTCAAACATAAAATTCTAGAAGTACATTTTATTTATACCTTTCGTACACTTCAGAATGGTTTCAATGTTGACAAAAAAAATGGAGGACCTTTCACTGGACTGAAAATTTCAAATAGTCCAGGACCTTTCATTTTTTAATGCAAATTTTAACCCCTGCATGTAGACCAATTTGAAAACCTGGCCCAAAATAAATAGACAGCTGCACCATGAGCACATGATACACCAATCGCTTATTCAAAGAATAAAGTTCAATAACTTTTCAATGTCATAATCAGACATTCATGAAAAACTAAAGGGAGGTTATCTTAATAGATATAAACCAGTCACCAAAGTTTCATGATAACTGCTCAAAGCATTGTCTGAAATATGAAAATCCCCCTTTTTTATGAATAAAATCACATAACTCTGAAACATAAAATCTAAAATTAATAAAAACCAAAAGGGAGCTTATGACAATAAATATACACAATTCACCAAAGTTTTATGAAAACTGCTGTAAGCATTTTTGAGTTATTGTCTGAAAACTGGAAAATCTCCCTTTTTTAAATGAATATAACCCCACAACTTGGAAATATAAAATCTTAAATTTATAAAAATCGAAAGGGAGCTCATGTCAATAGATACAAACAAGTCACAAAAGTTTCTTGCCATTTGGTGAACACATTTTGAGTTATTGTCCCAAAACTGGAAAATCCCCATTTAAAGTTTTTTAATGTTTTTTGGATATCAACAACTTTGTCAAACATACATGGAATTAGTTATATCTGCACACAAGAACACACATTTGTATGTGTTTTTTCTGCATAAACATGTAATTCATAATTTATTAAAACTTCCGACATAGTCCCATTGTGCATCTCTTTTTTATGCCCTCTGTCTGTACATCCTTGCATACTTGCATTGAGAAATAGGTTTTATACCCTTTTGATATATTGAATATTTTGACATTACACAGTCATACTTTTCTTAAGACTGCATAAAATGAGAAACTGTGAAACATTGTTACACTAAATCTGTTGAATGTAAACTGATAGATATTTTAGTTTGGGAAAACATGTTTTTTGCACCTTTTTTATTATAAGACCTATTGATGAATCCAGTCCTTTTTGGCTAATTTTGAAAGTTGGTTCTTATGTTGTTTGCTGTCTGCCATTACTGTATGTAGTTTATATTTTTCATCCTTGTAGGTTACTTTATGGTATTGATTTTGTTCATTGTTTAAGGCTGTACATTGACCAGTAAATGTTTACATCTCTGTCCTTTGGTCTATTAATTGATAGTTGTCACATTGAGGATCATACCTTATCTTTTTATATTTATATGCTAGGTCATTGAAAAAGCTCCAAGGATACAACATAATTTAATTGTTATATATTTGCAAATTCATTCTGATAATGTAAAAACATAAATTGATTGACTTTTTTTCTTATTTTAATGTCCAGAGGCAAATATTTTATGTATTCTAAACGAGAACAACTTATCATGATCAATTAATAATATAGGCCAGTCTGACAATGCTTGTTTTAGACCCTTTTTGGTCCCTAATTCCTGAATGGTTTGGGCAAATACCCCCAAAATGAAACTTAACCTTCTACTTGTGGTACAATTTCATAGCAATTAAAATACTTATAAACAAGTTATTGTCCTGAATTTAGAAAAATGCTTGATTTGGGCCTTTTTTGGCCCCTAATTCCTACACTGGTTGAACCATGACGCCAAAAATAATCCCAACCTTCCTTTTGTGGTATTGAACCTTTAAATCTAATTTCATAGACATTCATACACTTAAACTGAAGTTATTGTCCGGAAACCAAATGTCTTCGAACGAGTTGATAGCAATATACGACCTCAAAACTTTTTTGCTGTAGTATACAATATGGTTGTTCTTTTAAACATTTTCATAAATAATCTAAAAGAAATGTAGACCTGTTTGGGATTGCTTCCAATGCAATTTTCATTACATTAAACAATATATATTTCCACGGAATAACTTCTGTAAACCTAAATTTTAATAGCACTTACTTTCTAACTCATACATTTCAAAGTGACATTATTCCTGTATAAATTGCCAAATAAACGGATCACCGATGTAATAATAAATCTTAATTATAAATTTAATACTAAACAGAAAACAATGAACTTGCGGAAAAGATGGTATACCACCAACAAAAGGTGCAAAGGTTTTATTTCTTGGTTTCCTTAAACTGACCTCATCATGAATATCAACAATTTTTTTACGACTATGCCTTTATTGAAAACAGCATGCCTAAGTCACAGCTTCATATTTGTTGTGGCTAGACAAAAAAGAACAAGCGATTAAGAGAGCTTTGAATGCAATTTTCTATAAAAATGACCTGTAAAAAAAATTAATTTGTCACTTCTAACATGGATAATTTTCGAACTTGCCCACAACATTACAAGAATCAAACTTTAAACTCTTTGACCTCAAACTTTTAAAAAAATCTTCGAAACTGCATGTACAGAGCCTGACAAGAAAAAATTATTCAAACATAGTTATCATTTTCATTACATACCTCTCATCACAAAATTATTCATTGACTACTGCTCCTCATATCCACATAAAACAATAGGACAATCTATGACTCCACTATATACCGGTAATCTAGAAAGCAATGCCTCAAATGAATTCTGTCCTGTTGCTTAGCTTCTCCTACTTCTCAAAGTAATTGTACTTTGAATTCGTTGAAAAAGCTAAAATAAATAATGTTTAATAAAATGAAGTTATAATACAATGTATCTGCCAAAATTGCCTTTAATATTTTTATCTGGCAAAATTGGCTTGCTTTGATCTTTTAAAACTAGACCAACAAACTTTCCCTGAAAAAAAAATGACTACAAAAAAGTATTTAATCATTTTATTAATGTTCTGATCCATCATATAAATTCCATATGACCCTTGAATGAAGGGATGAACAAAAGTGATTACATGTACAGTATATATTACAAGATCTCTGAATCTGTCATGATTTATAATGCCAATCTTTGGGGATTAAGTTATTAATAATCATGATACTTTGAAATTTTAAGTCATTCAAAGTTGTTTAAATTACACCAAAAGTTGGACTATTTTATATAAGGTAGTATCTGAGAAATGGACTAAACCAGGCAAGGTTTGGTGGTAAATACATTGTACATGTACAATGTACTTTGTTTTTGGCTTTGAACTAGGTGTTAGTAACTGGGAGTACTCTCAGATCTGAACTTGGTCTTTTTTGTTGTGGGGATGTGTAAGTACCCACCACGTCTTGTGTGTGGTTTTGTTAGATGTCTTTCTACTTTGTATAGATCTGACGAGTTAAGCCCTTTTCACATCAATATACCAGGTTAGGAGGTGGGTTTGGCACCACAAACTACTAGTCTAGCCCCACCCCATCCTGTACATATTTGTATGTATGTGCCTGTCCCATGTCAGGAGCCTGTAATTCAGTGGTTCAGTTTGTCGTTTGTTGCTGTGTATCATATTTTGTTTTTTTTTTTTCTTTGTTTTGTATATAAATTAGTCTGCTAGTTTTCTTGTTTGAATTATTTTACAAATTTGTCATTTTCATTTGGGGTCTTTTATAGCTGACTATATGGTATGGGGTTTGTTCATTGTTGAAGGATGTACAGTGACCTCTAGTTGTTAACTTTGATGTCATTTGATCTCTGATGGAGAGTTGTCTTTTCTCATTAGTGTAAACAAGATTTTATTTTGAAAATAATTAGGTTATTTAAACATTACAATATGACAGTTTTATTAGGATTGGAAAACAAGTGAACTTTCATGGACTTTTACCAATTCCTCTCTTTTCTCATTGGCAATCATACCACATTTTCTTATTTTTATATTTACATTACGTACATGTAAAGTAGATCTTTCATCTTCTGGAGGTGTCCGATTCCTAAGTACATGTACAACAGGGGACCCTAATTAACAGCATGATTTTGAGTCGGCTAAAAAACAATCAGATAGATTATGATACAATTAACAGGTTTCTTTGCAATTATTTTGCAAATAACTAAGCTAATGCAAGAATAAAGTTATTTTCCAATAAATACATAAATTAAATAATAGTAAATAATGAATTTACAATTATATTTTAAGAATATTAATTGAAACATCATTTTAATTCAATAAATATCATATATATTAAATTTCAATTTTTTTTTTAAATTCTGGGTAGATAAGTTTTCATTTTTTTTTAAGTACATGTAGGGCGAGTTGGTAGACCTTTATCTGTTTATAATATATTTATTATATATTATCATGATTATATTCATTTGGATTTTACCCAAGTTAGGCAAGTTGCCACTGTTGGCAGGAGTACATTGTATATGTAACAGGATTTAATCCTTTTCACAAGTGGGGCGATTTTTTTTTAATAAGGGGCATGCAAGATGCCTTAGATGGTATGAAGGGAGCTACCACTTGATTTGGTGGGGGGGGGGCTAGGATGAAAATGTTATGAACAGTTATCCTGCATTGTTTTTAGTTGTAATATCTGTCCTGACAGTGACAGTTTATTACCGGTATTCATTCTTTTCGGTCCTGGCTTTTATTTTTTTACTCAAAACTCCTGTCCCGCATTTTTTCAAATTCCGTCAAAGCCCCCTCTCCCATAAAAATCAAATGGTAGCTCCCTAAACAAGAGTGGAGCGATTTTAAAATAATGGGGCGTTTTGCCAATTGCAATGGGGCGAGTTGACTTGCTTCCGTTTTTGCCAATCTTTGACTGATTTTCGGGTTTATACATGCATGACATGGATAAAGTCAAATGGTTTTTCGTGAAAAGTATAGCACTAGCATCTTCCTAAAAATGCGCATGATTATATTTACATTTCATTGGTACGTAATCCATCAAAACGAAACACTTTCGTTGCGTTGACTTTCGTTCCCCGGATTCAGTTAATCGACAATGTAAGTTACTAACCCATTTCAATATATCTGTTTATAATAACTTTTTGATCCATCAGTTTGAAAAATCAAAGGTCTTTGTATCAACTATCTGACTATCTTTGTCCATTCTTTTAAAACATGAATTCAGCAGCAGACGAGCGTCCATGGATTTTGCGTCATAGTATAAAAACGACAACGGTGAAAAGATTTCCGGGTTTCCGTATTCGACGTGCCAAGCTTTCGTACATTTACGTATATATATGAGAGTTAGTCTGGAATCAAGAATGGGGATTTAAATAAGGACACAAAAAATATATAGATAGTTGAAAAGCAAAAATATAGAAAGAAGGATCATAGAGAATAATTGAGTATACTTAATTATGAAGAATCATGCAAAGACATTATTCTCAGAGCATATACATGTCTCTGCCAGACTCTGGAAGAATTGAGAATAAAGAAAAACTAAATAAAGAATATTCAATCATTTATATATTATTTATAACTCATTCACATTTTGTTCCATTCAGAATTAAATAACTCTGCTGAGGGGGGCATGGGAAGTTTGGAAAATTGACAAACGATAATTACTCTAAATTCTAATCGGAGAATTAAATGTTAGACAGTTAGAGTGTAATAAATAAAATATAAACATATATTTTTCAAAATGATGTCACAGAAAACACAGATTTTTTTATTACTAATAAGATTCTTCAATTTGAGTATCTATGTCCAACAGATGTCAGTGAATTAGAAATTTTACTGATCTGATAGACGTTTAGTTAAGAATCTGTGACAAGTTCTTTTGTGATATTATTAGGAAATTGCCTACCGCCTCCTTGATTTAGAATTGCATACTCTTCAAGATTAAGGTAGCCTACACACATAACAGCAGTTTTGGACTTGATCTTTTTGTCAAAAGTTAAACAATATATTTTGTTTTATAATTTTCAACTCATGAACTATGCAAATATTTTTAACACTATCTCCTCATGATATTCGACGAAAAGCTCACCAGATCTTATCTTCACATGTTTGCCAATATGGCGAATCAAATCAAAGTTTTACTTACTTAATTTCAAGTTGGCAATTACATGTATACTCAAACCTAGGTTGCCACATGTTGAGCAGAAAGTTCCTAACTTTATCATTCACAATACTTGAGTTCACCCATGTATTTTGGAGGTTCGTGTTGCACATAAAGGCGGATTTAGAGCACCCTGCCCCTCCCCTTTTTGTGGCAAAAATTTGATCTATTATATCGGGAATCACTGATGCATGACTAGGGAGGCCCCCTCTTTAGCAGTCAGTGGGCCCCCTTATGAAAATTTCTGGATCCGTCAATGGCACAGTCTTTAGTTTTTATGTAATGTTAAGCCCAACGGTTACTGGGAATTTCTGTACAGTATTTCATACCAAGGTTGTTTGGGTATCACAGTTTTAAAATGTTATCACCGTTGATCCAATAAACAAATCCTTGGTTGATCTATTCTTAAAAAACTTCTTTCCAGTAGTACCCTCACAATGGTATTAATGACATTAATGCCTCCAACCTGGGACTATTATGGAGACTATTATACAATAGTCCCAGCTCCAACACTGATCATTAATATTTATGTTCCCCTTATAAATAGAATAGAGAAATTGAGGACATTTGTTCCACATTTTATGAACTTTGAAAAAACACAAGCACATGTAACTTTTGACACCACCTGCGGGCAAGTGCCTGCAGGACACTGATGTGGTGGCACGTGGGTGGTGGTAAGTCAGTGGCGGATCCAGAACTTTTCATAAGGGGGGCCCGCTGACTGACCTAAGGGGGGGGGCCGCTCCAGTCATGCTTCAGTGATTCCCTATATAATCAACCAAATTTTTCCCACGAAAGGGGGGCCCGGGCCCACAGGCCCCCCACCCTGGATCCGCCTATGTAAGTTTATAACCGCCGTTACAGTAAACCCCTCTCAACCCACCAAATGCTTGCTTGAAACACAAGTAAAATATAAGCAGGTAATTATATGCTTTGCTTTTATTCCACACCAAAGATGAAGAAATGTATGATAAAGTTATAATGGTATATTATTCTGTACATTGTATAAGCCTAAAAATTAAAGGGACGAAAGTATGTAGTGACTATTGTTTGTCGTGATTTAAACACGATAATAGTGTTGCTTTCCCCTTTATCTTATGAGCCGTATTGAACAGGACAGACTATCCCAAACACTCTGAAACTTTTCAAGTACTTTCTATATGCTCATGTGTATTATATTGTTAGCATAGTTTTGTACTTGGACAGATAATCAGAATGGTCAACAATCAAGTATTGACAATGTTAATTGGTCACGTTTGTTTGAACTACCAAACCAGGTAATTTTTAAATTTACACTTGTACAAACCAATGTCAATGTTACATACAATCAGTCATTTTTGTAACACAAGGGTTACAAATAAGAAAATACAAAATAAAATATGCAAATTTATAATTTAGTTCCATAACTGTATGAAGCACCTAAGACTTAAATATATCTACTGGGTGTATCTGTCTGTCTTTTGTCCAAGATAGTTGGCAGATATATAGGAATAAAAAGAGATGTAAGGTTATTGTAACACACCTTTGAGAAAGTTATTCAAACAATAATAACAAAAACACAACACATCTAGATATTCCAAGTTCTAAATCATTTTTTTTCAAAGTGGTGAAGATCAAAAGATCTGCAATTAACACCAAATTCTCCCAATATAAATGCATACTTCTTTTACCTGTGTATATGTATTAAAAGAAATACCAATGAAAATCTTAATTAAAATAAATGTTT